AAAAAACCCCACAAAACAACCAAACAAAAAGAACACAAAAAACCCCAAGCTAATTAGAAAATTTAGGAGCCTTGGAAGAATACCACTTTGAGGATCAGATTTGTTTGCCTTTTTTTTTTCTTCCCAAATAAACAAGAGCTCCTCTCATTGGACAAAAGCCTTTCCAGACTGGTCCCGAAAGCATCCTGCGTACTTATGCCTGCTGGTTGCCATGGTGAATGATGCTGATCTGAAGAAATGAATAGTGTGAGCGTTGGGGGCGGCAGTGGGATTACTCAGACGGTGGCGAGAGAGACATCAAGGAGAGCCCAGAGCAGAGGGGGAAAGGCACCATTCCCTTAGCTCGGGTCCACCCTGCCTCTGAAGGCTACGCTCTAACTGGCATCAGCACACAAGCATCAGGTAAGAGGGAAAAAGGCTCTTCTTGGAAATGGAAATGGCTTTTCCTTTCCCACTCCGCTTGGAGGAGGGCCAGGCAATGGTAATATACATAGCTACACACAGGGGGTGGGGGTGGGGGTGTTTCCAAACAGAAGCAGAGGAAGAAAAATTAATAAGGGAGGCAGATTTGGTCCTAAAAGCTGAGGATGCTGTTAGCATCTTGACAGAAAGCTCTTAAAAATGTCTGCTGTGGGGAACTCAGTCTGCAAAGACAGCCTGCTGCAGAGGGGAGGCAAACAGGGGAGAAGATTCACGACAAGAAACGGATTGCTAATCACCCCTGGTGGAGGCGATTTACGAGGGCCATTGCCTCTACGTCCTTAGTCATGAATTAAGCTCTTTTACTGTGGTCGGAGGTGTATTTACAGGGATGTGTGGGGTGCTGGGTGGCGTGGATGGGTGTGCATGAGAGGGAGCGTACACAGTCAGTCTCCTTCGCAATGACCTCCCCTGGAGGGATCCGAGCACACACACCTGTTTCGTCCCTTTCATGCCCCATTTTCCTGGGAGGAAATTTCCAGCCACATAGGAAGGAACGATTCCCCTTCCTGAGCATTTCAGTTCACTGTCATCCTTAGAGAGGAAAACAAGGACTGCGAAAGCACTTGATGCCATGCGTCTTTCTGCAGCTCACCCCCTCTGGGAACACGGGCAGGAAAACAGAAGGGGGGGGGGGAGCAGGGAGGAGAGCAGCTCCTCCTGGAAGCCAGTCTGGCTTAATTTCCAATTCTAGTTAAAATCGGATTGTTTTCTGACTGTGTCACTGCAACCTGAAACAAAACCGTCCGTATTTCATGGGAGAGGAGGAGCAGAGGACAGAGCAGGGGGAGACCTATACGTCAACATACGCAGGTTGAATATGGCTGCCCCTGGATTTTCGATGAGGGGAAATTCAGTGAGGGGGAAATACGCAGAATGAAAAAGAAACGAAAAGGCTTGAGGATGGCGCTCCCTTCCCAAAGCCAGAGGGCTGGCAATCTGAAGACAGCTCGCTGGATCTGTCTGGTAAAACAGCAACGGGTCCTAGCACCAGCATCTCCTGTCGCAGTAACATTCTATTACTAAACCCAGCAACCTTGCTCTGAATATCCAGCGGTGAAGTGGCTTTGAGGCTGGTTCCTATTAGCTGAGTCACCTCAGATTGCTCATCTGTAGAATGGAAATCTAGCTCAGAGGGTGTGATGATGAATAAAGGGAACTTGTTACTGTAGGTTGAACAGCTAGCAAGAGCTGCGAGAGGGCAATGGCTTGCTAACTGATGGTTATTACCATTATTAACATCCATGGTCCCAGTAGTAATAAAGAGTAGCAGCTGTGCTGGTATTAGCAGCTGATTGTGTTGATCTATGAAACTATGTCCTGGGTACCTTTGGCTTTGATAAAACAAACACAACAAGAGCAGAGGCTTTCGGGAGAAAGGAGCCGCCAATGAGTGACAAAACAAATCTCTCGCCATGGGCAACAGAACTGGGAGGCAGAATGTTCTAGATGGTGGAGCTACCAGCACTTAGAGAAGATGCAAGAGGTCCAGAAGGGAAATTTAGGTGAAATACCTGCCTGGCTTGCAGGTCTCAGACCTGTGGTGACTAACGCAGGGACTCTGAGGTGGTCCTGATTCCTCCTTTCGTTGCCTTTTTTTCTTCTTGTTTTTAAGGCTTGGGCACACGTTGTAGGTAAAGGATCTGAGCCAGGGCAGGACGGGACTGGGGAATGTGGGCCCATCCTTTTTAGGTCTGAAGGCCACCAGCTTTGGCATGAGAGAGCCCTGATGGGACGTCTGTCCTGCCGTTGTTTAGCTATGCCTAGCTGAGTAACGTTGCCTCTTGGCCTCCATTTTCTTTGTAAAATGGGGGTAATATTAGTCTCCATCTCGAATGCTCCATAAAGAGTGGCTGTGATGATCATAAATAAATAATTTAGGGGAAGTCACTCTTCACTCTGATTCTGGTTGCAGGATCAGGATGGAAATCGAGGTGTGGAACCTTTCTTCTTCGAGAGCCATCGTTTCCTGGAAGCCCTTGGAGCCCTGCCAGGAGGACCATTACAATGTTATGTACAGGGCCAACTGGAACAACATCTTCACCGGCTACATTCGCAACAGCTTCCACTATGAGGAGAAGGTGCCTCGAACCGTCAGCAGGGTGGCCCTCGAGCACCTCGCCCCTTCCACTTTCTACTTCCTGTGCGTCAGCTGCAAGAAGATTACCTACCCCCACAAGCATCACTGCACCATGTTCTACACCCCGGATAAGAACCCGCTGGTTCCCAGAGGCTACCTGGTAAACCCCCAGCTCTCCCTGTGGGTCCTGCTGGCCATTCTGCTGGCCTGCTTCACAGCTGTGCTTGCTTTCATCTGCCTCCAGTACTGGTGCATCCGCTGCCATGTGCCACGCTGGTCTTACAGAGAGCCCCACCTAATGGAAGCCAATGGGTTGGTGAGATGGCCGCGGGACGGCCCGGCTCCTGATCTGGAGGAGGAAGACCAGCAGGGGGTCCCCCTGGTGGAAATGCCACGCAGAGATTCAGGAGCTGGAGTGGAACCGGAGGCCGAAGCCGCAGCCGACGCCGCAGCTGCAGCTGATGCAGACGCCGAAGACGACCCAGATGCCCCCGACGCAGGTGCCCCCCAGAGGGAGGGTGGTGGCCAACCTGGCATTCTGCCTCATTTTGAGGGGTGAGAGGTGGGGAGGAAGCAGCCCCCAATCTGTGGCATCAAGCCCTCCACACAGGAGTTCCTTTGTAAAAATGTGTCCATAGACTTTCCATGTCTCCCCGCAAATTCAGTGTTCTTGTGGATCACCTGGCTCAGCGACCACACTCCTCAAGCCCAAGGACTCATCCCCATGCTTAAGCATGGCCTCTCGGAGGGGCCCAGTGGGGGCTGGTGCAGTTAGAAATATAAAAACCTATTTTAACATGAAAACAAATGTGAATACCTTACAATGTAGAAAGTGAAATGTGCATGACTTGACAAAACACAGGACTTCAGGGGAGCTGTGGAGGTGAAGACGGGCTCGCTGAGCTACGCGGCCAGTCAGCTTCAGGCCGAAGCCCAGCCTCTGCTTTGGGGAGGCTGTTTTGGAAGAGTGGACGAAGGCTCACCCCAGCCTGTTTTCCAACTTTCAGGCAATCACATACCACCTCGGACATTACTTTTGTTTTGTTTTTTTAAGCCAGATACCATGTTTACTGTTCTTAGCAAATAGTTTTAAATTGACTCATGTTTTAAAACTTAAACTTATTTTAAAAGGAAGCTGTACATGAATCCAAACATGAATACCGGCACCCTCCCGCCATAAAGAGAAGAGACATAAGGATAAATAGAACGAAAACAAAATAATAAATCTGACCTAGATACTACTGCCTACTAAAGACTCCAAGTTTAAAGCCTGCTTTCTATTCTTCGATAAAAGGGGAGATTAGTAAGCATTGAAGTACGAAAGACCTATTAGCACCAATCAAGTCTGTCTCCTCGATATAACCAACGAGGTTTGAAAGGGAAGTGGAAAGGGAGGTGTTCTTACTTTGTGAGTCCCTGGGATTTAATGCTGTGGCTGTGAACCATCTAAAATGCTGTGAGTCAGCATCTCGAACGTTGCCTGGACCAGACTGCTTGTTCCGGAGAAGACACCTCCCAGCACTGCCCTGAGCCCTTCTAAGCCCCACCTCTAGGCCCGACTGGGAGGAGCACATCTGGGTTCACTACCCTTCCTAACCCAGGGCTCCCCGGCCCAGAGGACCACCTTTCCTAACAAGACCGTTTATCCAGTCGGTTCCTCTTCTAAGTTCATCGAAAAATGGGGTCAAAGGTGGCCATTTTATTTGTTGTTGACACACCTCACCGCTTCAGTGGTATTCTTCAGTCCTCCCTTAACCCCCTGGGGTAAGAAGCGAATCTCCTCCATCTGTCATGATGGGGAGACTGTGAACGTTGCTCCCTGTCGTCACCATGAGGTGGAACTGGAACTTGAGGAGGACAGCGGTGACGTCTGCTTCAATCTCTATTACACCCCCAGCATGTAAATCCCAGCCCAGTGCCTGGCCTTTCCTGGATGTTGAATAAATGTCTGTCCAACGCATGGCAGTGGACGGAAGGTCTAGCACAGGCACCACTGGGAATGTGTAGCGTCAGGATGGGTGCTTGTGAACAAAGCTTCTCAGTTCTAGCTCCAGTCAAAGCTTCCCCTTCCCAACTGCTTCCTGCCTGCGAACCCCTTAAATCGATAGAGCACAACCCCCAGAATCCCAGGACGATGCCACCTCGAATCAGCTGAGGAACAGGAGGCGAGGGGAAATGCCAAGACGAGAAACCCCATGCATGCACTGCCCGCTCCCCTCCCCAAAACGTTCCCGCGCAGGATCCAGCCCCTGGCTGGAATTCACCCCCATCCCTGCTAGTTGTGAACTAATAAAGATGAATAAACTCACAGTCGTTTCCGCCTGGATCTCACTGCTGCCTCCTTTTCTCCACTCCTTGCCTTTCTCTTTCGGGAAATACTTTTCTATTTGCTTTTGCTCACTAGCCCCTTTAGAGGTAGGACCCGGGTAAGACGACTCACCTTGGACCCATAGAGGTAATAAGGCTGGACGTTGGCGGGTTTATCTCTTTGCGGTTCTTGGGTGAAAGGAATGGCAGTTCGGACAAAACTAGGAGAGGAAAGATGGGGCAGGAGTTAACCGAGTCCTGATATTCTTCAGGGGACATGATGTAGTGGGAGCCCTTCCTGACCAGGTGCAACCACACCACTTCTTAAGTGGGTGCCTCTGACGTACTCCCATCCAACCACTGCCTCCTCCCCAAAGATGGGAAAGTTGAGGTCCAGACTCACAGGCTTGATGTGGGGCCTGTGGCTGCTCAGAACAGTGGGCTGGGCCCGAGAATGGCCTTCTCCAGGGCCCCACCTCTCCACCTCCCCACGCCCATGTTGGGTTTCCCCAGAGCAGGGTTCTGCAAACTCTTTCTGTAAAGGCCCAGGCAGCAAATATTTTCAGCTTTGCCAGCCAGATGGTCTCTGCTGCAAATAAATCCGCTCTGCTGGTCGCAGGAAAGCTCCCGTAAACAACAGTAAATGAATGAGCGTGGCTGAGTTCCTATGAATTTCAAATACTCTCCACTTGCCAACACATGAGGATTCTTCTTTGGATTCCCCGTCTCCCTCACCATTTAAAAACATCAATACCATTCTTAGCTCATGGGCTGTACAAAAACAGCGGGGAACTGGTTGTGGCTTGTGGGCCAGGGTTTGTAGACTTTTGCTCAAGAACATTAAAGGTCCCAAATCTTCAGAGAACAGGAAGTGCGTCTTGCTAAGTGCGTGGGTTCAGGAGCATCGGTGGATTCCTCCCAGACCTCCCAGTCACTGAGCTTACTGAATGCCGGTCCTGAGGATACTGAGAGGACCTGTGCACAGTTTTGCTCATCCTTACATACTTATTTCGAAGTGAATACCTCTCACCTCTTCCACCAGGTTTTGAACCTCTGTGGGGATAAGGGATTAGGTCTTGTTTCTACCTTGGTGCCTGGCCCAGGGCTGAGGTCACCTGCAGGAGACATGCTCCACTTTGCCATGCATGTGTGTGCTCTGCACACATATGCCTGTTTGCACACATGCATTCCCATATGTCCTCACAAAAGTACCATCTGATCACGTCACTTCCCTTCCTTGAAGGTTCATAAATGCTCGATCCTAATGTGGTCTGCGGAGCAGTCCAGCCTGGTCCTGCTTCCTCCTGCATCCTGCTGTATCTTTCATGGCACCACTCCCCATCCCACCTGCTCCACCCTTACCAGCTCCCTGGCTCCTTAGAAACTTTGCCTGGAATACTCTTCTGCCTTTTTGCTTTATTTTTGCCTACTCATCCTCCGCACTGCAACTCAAGCATGCCTGCCTGCTCAGAGGAGGAAGCCTCTCCTGAGGTGTGCATGGCTCCCCGGACTGGATCAGGTGGGGCTGTTCTCTCGTGGCTCCGTGGGCTTTCTTCCATCTCCACGTTCACCGCTTATCATAACACATTTACTGTGTGATACATCGTTTCACAGACTGTGTGATTGTTTGATCTGGCCTGAAGGCTCCAAGAGGCAGGAAGGCATCAGCACAGAGCCTGCACCCAAGAGGGGCCCTGTGAGATGCCTGCGGCAGGGACGAGCGGACCCCTGGGCTGGGCCTAGTTTGGAGGAGGCAGCTGGCTGCTCCCTGGGCCCCAGTTCGCCCCGCCCCCTCCGACAGGGACTCCTTACCGGTTGGTGGATCCGTTGTAGCAGTAGTTGGGGAGGAAGTCGAAGTTCAGCTCCCAGAAGACGTGCAGGGTGATGCGGCCGTAGGGGGCGGACACGTTGTGGTTGGCCTCCCGGAACATGGCGTCGAAGCTGTCCAGGGTCATGTGCTTGCACAGCAGCCGGTGCGTGAGCCGGTTGATCTCCAGCAGCCACTCCAGCTCCTGGTCGAGAGAGAACCGCAGCTGCTGAGGACGCACACATACCTTTCAGGTGTGCACCACTTGGTCTGACCCATTCCTGTCACACAGGCGAGAGCCCCTCACACAACCTCCCAACTGCCGGCATGGGGACCAGGACCCCAGCAGTGGCATGTGACAATGTTCCCATGTTCTGAGGGGAAGGAATTGATTGACAGTTATTGCCCAGGCTGCATGCCTGTCCCAGGAAGGGGACCAGGTCACGTGCAAATGCCTGTCTGCTCCCCTCTGGGTACAGAGCATGTCTGCTTGCTCTCCAGATTCCATCTGTGAGAAAAAGCCTGCACCTCAAGGTCACAGGTAATGTAAAAGGAAGCTGTGACTGGCTGTCACCAGAGGCTACATGTCTGTCCTGCATTAAGCAAGCATACTAGGTGCTTACGATTAGGTCAGATCACGTATTTTAGGTCAAACACCATCAAATATGAGTAATTTCATAGGGTTCAACCTAATATGTAATATGTGCCAAGCAGTATTTTAAGCACTTTATATGTGTTAATGCATTTAATGCTCAACCCCCCCCCCCCCATGAAGTCAGTATTATTGCTGCCTCACTTTGCACATATAGAAACTAAAGCTTTGAGAAGTGAAGTAACTTAGCTTCAAATCCGGGAAGCTGGGCTGCAAAGTCCACATTCTTAACCCTGTGAAACACCTATAGGGATTCTGAAAACAGCTGGGAGCAGATCGTCCCCTACTTTGGGCTGTAGGTACCTCAGTCACACAGGTGGGGCTGCAAGCTGTGGATGAGCAACCTGCTGCTGGCCACAATGACCAGGGACCTGAGTGAGCTGTGGGCCAACTGTTGGAATCCCACCGTTGGGCAGAGAACGGGAGCAGAGGGGATACTACCCAGACACAACAGGGCACTGCATTTGCTGAGGAGTGAAAGGGGAGTGAACCCTTCGGGCTCATTTAGTCCCTTATCACATTGCCATTGGAAAGCATCAGAGCACAGTCTTGTGCTGAGAGAGAGAGAGAGAGAGAGAGAGAGAGAAGGCCGCCTCCACTTCCCTTCACAGAGGGGGAACTGAGACCCAGCGGGTGAAGTAACTTGCCCAAGGTCACACAGGACATATGTAACGGGGCTTAGGATGTGAATCCAGGTCTTCAGACTCCAAATCGTGTGTGCTTGGCCCCTGTGACACAGATAGCTGCCTGGAAATCATGGCTAAGAAAGCCCTCTGAAAATAAAGATGATCTTAAAACATAAAAGCAAAGAGAACATCAGAAGGGCAGTTCACCAGAGTGCAGCCCGGAGGTGGGACAGTTAGATGCAGTTTAATCGTCTGTGGTCACAGGAGGCAGCTCCACACCAGAGACTATTTCATTCTCATCGGCCACAAGGCCTCCTGAACCCTGGTCGGGGTCCCGCGTGTGGTCAGGTGGAGGCCCCAGGCCACGCCTCCCATCTTGGAGCTTAGCCTCTTTGAAACTCAGATTCTGTGGCTCTAAACTGGGGGCACAGACCTGGATCGCAGCTTGCAAACGTAAATGGCTGCAGGTCAGGTAAGTGGGACAAGCAGGGCAGGAGGGAGTCATGGGGCTGGGTTGTCTGTGGCAAATCAGAGCGCCCAGCCCAGAGAAAGGCGAAGCTGCTAAACTCCATCTGATTGTGGCGTCGGAAAGGGGCTGAGTGAGAGCAGATCCTGCCGCTTCTCAAAAATAGGTCAACATCTGGATTCCAATTCTGAAGTGGCAGCTGAAGAGTAAGAGTCCAGTCCCTGTGCACCGTGAGGCAGAGGAGAGCCGACACACAGATCAGCTCTCTGCTTCTTCTCTTGGCCCAACTAGCTGGACCTCATCTTGGTTTCAATTCACTTGGGTAAAAAAACACCAAAATAACAATAAAAAGAGTAAACGCTAAGGAGTACATTTCTAAGATCCACGAGTCATCCCACTATGGGGAAGATAGCTGCAGATAGGAAAGCGGGGATCCACTTCTGTCCTGCTGTTCTGTGCTTTTCACGGTCTCAGGAATGCGTGTCAGTGTTGACAAGGGAGACCAGGCGAGTGGAAGTGGGGGCTGCTGGAAGTGGAGGTCCAGCGCCTGCCGTGCAGCAGCACAAGGGTGTTTCTTTGTGACATAATCCCAACTGTGGTCTTGCATCAGCCGTGTTCTCCCGGCCTTCCCTCAGGAGGGCCCCTGCCTGTGGGACGGATGCAGGGCTCGGTGCAGAGGGTTTAAAAGGCACGTGAGTGGTTCAGGCACCTTCAGAGAGGATGTCAGCATTCCACAGTACAGTCAGTTTACTGAGGAAATAAAATACCCAAATGGGCAATTCTGTGAAGTATGGGAAGAGCTCTTCAAGGGCAACCAGAAACCCGAGTGTCAGCCACATGGGCCTGGTGACCAGCTCTGTGGCCCCAGGGAGGCAAGAAGATCTGGATTCTTGAACCCAGGGTCAGTGAGAGCTGGTAGGTCAGATTCATGAATGATGTGTCCGGGGAGCTGGCAGCAAACTGATAGCACAGTCCAGCTGCCAGGCACACCTAGGCAATGGTTACCAGCTGGGAGGGCTGGGCTGGTGCTGCCAGAGCTTCTGCACATTTACTTGTGTTCTTCCACATTTTTAATGTTGGCTCAAAATTTCAAATATGTTCTGCAGCCTTAGGCTGCCAGCTCTCAGCTGCAGTGTTGTTGTTTTTTGTTTTTTTTTAAAAACACACACATTTGTATTGATTTCAGAGAGGAAGGGAGGAGAGAGAGAAACAATAATGATGAGAGAGAATCATTGATCATTGATCTGCTGCCTCCTACATGACCCAGGATTGAGCCTGCAACCTGGGCATGTGCCCTGACCAGGAATCGAACCGTGACCTCCTGGTTCCTAGGTCAATGCTCAATCACTGAGCCACACCGGCACTGGCCGGAGTCAGCTTCAGCTTTTCACAGCTCTCTTGGAGCATCTATTTACCGAGCTGCGTAGGAGGATGGTGACTGACAGGAAATGTTTGCAGCCTCCCCACTCGGCATCAGGCTGCCTCCCCATCCAGATAGGAGTTTCTAGGTAGAGGGAAGGGCTGAGGGCAGCGCATTCCTGGGTTTGTTTTTCAGAAGAGGCAGAAGCCTCTTAGCGGAGGTGAGGGGGGCCTCCTGACCCCATAGGGGGGAGCGTCCTTGGGGCCTCCTTTTCAAGGGCTTCAGGGGCAGTGGCTGCTCTCCTGGGGGCCATCATCCTCACCCGGTAAACACCGGCTTTCATGCTTGTTTTGTTCTCGGCTCAAAGAGCAGTCAGTGCCTTTCAAGGGCTGGGCCATGCACACCCACGCACACCCCAAACCAGTTTTCCCACCCGATACGCTCATTCATTACTGGAAAACTGGAAGGTACAGATAGATTTTTTAAAAAGATGAAAACAAAAGTCCTACTACTTGGAGATAATGACTGCTAATATTTTGGCATAAACAAAGAAAAATCTATTTCTTAAAATAGATGTCCTGGAAGGAGGCGGGCTACATGACAGTCTCTTCCCGTAAGGGACCTGGGCTGAGGTGGGCAGCTGGATCAAGTCTTCTTAGGAAACGTTGTTGAAAACTCACCCCGAGAACATTTCACTGCAGCTCCAGATCCCTGTGTTCCTCTCCTCTGTTTTTCCCCACAGGCCTATTTATTTATGAAGTGCAATGAACTATGCAAAGCTCTTTCCAGACTGGCTCGTTTTGTCCTTGCAACAACACCATGAGGTGAATGCTAATCTCTGCTCCACAGTGTAGGTAGGGAAACAGGCTTATAGAAGATAAATGACTTGCCAAGATCACCCAGCCAGTAAGAGGCAGGGTCAGGACTGCACCCACTGGTTTTTCTGACTCTGGAGCTCTACTTTTTAAAAAAGTCCTTTGTCCACTTAAAAACAAGCAAACACCTTTCTATTTGGAAATAATTTTAGACTTACACAAAAGTGAAAACAGCAGAGTTCCTGCATACCCCTGACCCGGTTTAACCAACGTTAACCTCTTACATAACCATGGCATAATTGTCAAAAGTAGGAAATTAACGTCGGCACAATGCTATTAACTCAACGACAGGCTTTATTTGAATTTCCTGTTTGTCCACAAAGGTGCTTTTTGTTGCTCTGGAATTCAATCAGGACCCACTTTGCATTTAGTCTTTTCCAATCTCTAGTAGTTTTCAGTCTTTCTTTGCCTTTTATGATCTGCATGCTTTTGAAAAGTATTGTTCCCTGTGTGTGTGTGTGTGTGTGTGTGTGTGTGGTGTTTCTTTTGAGGGACTGTTTTTGATTTGGGTTTATGTGGTTTTTCTCATGATTAGATTGAGATTATGCATTTTGGAAAGAATACCACAGAAAAATACATATCAGGAGACACATGAATATATCTTATTACTACCTTTGATGCCTGGTTAAGAGGGTGTCTGCTAAGTCTCCCCATTATAAACTTAGTATTCTTCTATTTGGAGCGAATAAATGTCTTGAAGGAGATAATTTGATATTATTATGCAAGTATTCTGTTTCTTCCCAAAGTTATTTTGGGGGTAATTCTTTTTTATTGTGGGAAAATATACATAACATAAAATTTACCATTTTAAGCATTTTTAAATGTACAGTTCTGTGGCATTAAGTACCTTCACATTATTGTGCAACCATCACTACCATCCATCTCCAGAACTTCTTAATCTTCCTCAACAGAAACTCCGTACCCATTAAACACTAAAGCTCCTTCCCCACAATCACCCCCCTACTTTCTGTCTCCATGAATTTGGCTACTCTGGGAATCTCCTAATAAGAGGAATCATAATATGTTTTTCTTAAAGTTCTGTCCACTGCCCTGGCAGATGTGGCTCAGTGGGTTGGGTGTCATCTTGTGCACCGAAAGGTTGCCGGTTTGATTCCAGGTCAGAGCACATGCCTGGGTTGTGGGCTCGATCCCCAGTAGGGTGCATGCAGGAGGCAGCCAATCAATGTTTGGCACTCTCTCTACCAAAAATAAATCGATAAAAAAATCTTAAAAAAAAAATTCTGCCCACTAATTTTAGCATCCATGTAGTGATCTAATGGTGACTTCATTCCTTCTACTCATCTGCTTTTGAAAGCATTAGAGCCTTCCTTTGATTCACTTAAAGACTGACTGATCAATCAAGCTTACTCTAATTCTTGGAAAGAATTAATATAGAGAAGTTCAAAAGCTGTTTAATAGGAGAAGGAAGGTCCATGCTTATGCATCAGGACCGATTATATAATTTGCAGGTCCCTGGCAAATGAAAATGTGGGGACCTTCGTTAAAAAACTATTAAGAGCCCTGGCCGGTTTGGCTCAGTGGATGGAGCGTCGGCCTGCGGACTGGGGGGTCCTGGGTTCGATTCTGGTCAAGGGCATGTGCCTTGGCTGCGGGCGCATCCCCAGTGGGGGATGTAGAGGGGGCAGCTGGTCGATGTTTCTCTCTCATTGACATTTCTGGCTCTCTGTCCCTCTCCCTTCCTCTCTGTGAAAAATCAATAAAATATATTTTTTAAAAAAACTATTAAGAATTTTAAGACAGCAAGAGCAGAGCATTAAACCCAGCACAGAGCCCCAGGCAATCAGGAGGGTAAGATTATTTTCATTCTTAAGTCTATTTTCCTGCTTTATTCAGATAGGAAGGAAACTTGCTGCCCTCTATAACTGGCCCAGTACTAAGCTCACAACAACATCCAGCTAGAATCCCAGATCGTCCCATCTCTTACCACTATGGAGGTCAGGTCCTCACTCTCAAAGCGGCTGATGGCCTGGTCCAAGGATTTGTACATGGCGGCAGAGATGCGCTGAGTAATGAGTCTGTTCAGGTCAATTGATCTACCCAGGAGCTGGACAGGAGAGAGAGAGAGAGAGAGAGAGAGAGAGAGAGAGAGAGAGAGAGAGAGAGAAGATTTGCACAGACACATGACAACGAATTGCAATGCACTGATAGGAACTTGGATTAAAAGTATAAAGGACATAACTGGGACAAATGGGGACTCTGTAGAAAAGAGTATTGTTCAATTTCCTGAGTATGACAATTCTATTTTCATTTCGAGGAGATAGGTGCTGAGGTGTTCAGGGGTGAAGTCTCATGATATATGCAACTTATTCTCAAATGGTTAAGAAAAACAAGTATATTCTTTTTTTTTAGTATATATTTTTTATTTCAGAGAGAGGAAAGGAGAAGGAACATCAATGATGAGAGAGAATCATTGATCAGCTGCCTCCTGCATGCCCCCTAACAGGGAATCAAACCTCCACCTCCTGGTTTATGGGTCGATGCTCAACCACTGAGCTGCACTGGCTGGGAAATAGTATATTCTTTAAAATATATATTTCCATATACTATTTATATTTATACATAAATATATTTTATATATTTGCTGCATTTGTGGGAGAAAACATATACATGAGAAAGAGAAAGTGGTAAAACAATAATCATGGATCTGTTTATAAAGAATATATGTGCTCATTGTATTATTCTTTCAAGTTTCCTGTAGTTTTGAAATATAAAATGCTGAGGGAAAATACAATTTACTCATACTGCAGGACAGGCTCTGGCATCCGTGCAATGCTGACATCCTAAATTAGCCTTGAGCTCCTTCCTGAATCTGCCCTGTGCCCCAAATTCACAGTCGGGAATAGCCACCCCTCAGCCTTTAAATTCATCCCCACAAAGGGCCGTTGTGTGCCTTTGTGGGGATGAATTTAAAAGCAGGAGCATGAAGGGCTGGTTACAGAACGGAACATGTAGCTTACAATAATTTCTACTGGGGAACACAGGGGCTGCACTGCAGATGCTATGGAGAGAGCAGTAAACATTTATTGACCACCTGCTCTGTGCCCTGCACTTTGCTAGGTACCCAAGGATTATTCTTAACTGTTTAATTTTTTCTACTTGTCTTCTGGGGTGAATTTCCTACTAACTGACAAGGGCCCCTTAAAGCCACAATGTGCACACATAAAGCCCTCAGTATTGAACACCCTGTGGCTAACTCTGCTGCATCAGTAAGTGACAGTCATAATTCTCTGTTGTCGGCAGAGGAGAAAAATGTTCTTTTTCCTGTTACAATTCTCCATTTCCCTTGCATTTCTCATAGCAACGGGAATGTCAGGGTTCCTCTTCATCTAGACCAGCGGTTCTCAACCTGTGGGTTGCGACCCCTTTGGGGGTCAAACGACCCTTTCACAGGGGTCGCCTAAGACCACCGGAAAACACATATATAATTACATATTGTTGTTGTGATTAATCACTATGCTTTAATTATGTTCAATTTGTAACAATGAAAATACATCCTGCATATCAGATATTTACATTACGATTCATAACAGTAGCAAAATTACAGTTATGAAGTAGCAACGAAAATAATTTTATGGTTGGGGGTCACCACAACACAAGAAACTGTATTAAAGGGTCGCGGCATTAGGAAGGTTGAGAACCACTGACCTAAACCATCTCCTCAGTGGAGGCTCGGCCCCCTTCACCTCAGTCTTTTCCACAAACGCCATGGACCACATGAAAAGCATGCAGAGGCCACAGCGGAAAGGCCCAAATCTCCCAAGAGATTTTTAAGACCCCTCTCTACTCTCACTCTCCAGGCAATCAGGAGGGTAGCTGCCAGCAAGACGTAGGAGCAGGGAGCAGTCTGCTGGGGCAGCTCTTATTTTGTCTCCCTTGTTCCGTTAACATTTTTAAGCAGGAATATGTGTCTGAGCTCCTGACAGCATTTCCTCTACTCTGGGGGTCAAGTGTTCACAGAAACCAACCCCACAAAAATAAACAATCATTTCTACCCTGGGTTTAGCCTGACATGCTGTGTTTGTTTCCAAGGCCCGAAGCTCTCCATCACTTAGGCTAGCATCTGAGCCTTGCAGGGACACATTTACCCACTGCTGAGCAGCAGTCCCGACGCAAGGAAGTGGGCCGCAGCTTAGTACAGGAAGACAGAGGCTTTGGTGGCCACTGTTCCCCAGGGGTGAGCTGCAGACGAGCGGAGAGCCTGGAACTTGAACCAGAGGAGGCCCGTGCCTTTGCTCGGTTTGTGGACTCTGAGGCTGTGTCACACCTATCTTAGACGTCCACATGGGGCAATGCGCAGACAGCACAGCCCTGATTTCTGACCTCCATGCTCCCCTCACAGCTACTCTCTCAACCTGTTCCACTTCCACTGTGGGTTCCGTCCCCATTACCTGGACGTGTCTCTGTTTCAGCAGCGTCTCGTAGCGGTTGGACGGCGGGTACGGAATGATGACTCCATAGTTCTTACATTCGGCTCTAAAACGTTTATCCAACAGGACACTGGAAGGGATGAGAGTTAAATGAGGCCAGGCAATGTGACAGCGAATCGTTTTCAACTGCCCCACCACGTCTGCTTTAGACCAGGATCTACCCATAAAGCACGGTCTTATGCATTTTAAGTATAATTTCCTTTCTGTTTTAGAGCAAAGTCCTTCAAATTTCTTTTCAACCAGAAGAGCTCAATATGTGAATGAGAATGTCTAACTTAAAGACTGGCAACACAGAAGTTGAATGACTTTCCTCTTTTATTCACTGACAAAAAATCAACAACAGCAGTAACAACAAAATGGAGTGCATGCTTGTCATATCCCAGATCCTTGCTTGGGACAGACAGTTCCCAAGAGGAAACATTCTAAGCACTAGGAATACAAAGTTCCTGTCCCCTGGAAGTCTATGTTCTAGTGAAGAGAGACTGAAACTGAAAAAGTAGGCAGAGGAATAAGATAATTTCAAATAGTGTACGTCTGCATGGTATTCATTATGTATCAGGTGTGCACACACACTCATACAGTCGCTTTTCATCTCACATCCATGAGTTGTAAGTACCATTATCATCTTTCACACTGAAGCACACAATGCAGAGTCATAAGTGCTCTGAAAACAATAAAACAGGACCATCTGGTATGAGGAGGTCAGAGAAAGCCTCTCTGGAGAGGTTTTGTTGGACAGAGACCTACATGCGAAAAATGGCCAGATCTGGGGCAAGAATCCCTCAGGCACAATGAGCCTGGGATGTCTGAGAAAAGGAAAGATGGCCAGTGTGGGTACAGGGCAGGGCCTGGTGGAGATCATGGTGCAAAAATGAACTTATAAAGTTAGTCCAGGGGCCAGGTCACGTGGGACTACCTAAGCCACAGGAAAGAGGTTAGATGCTCTCCAGATGTAACTGGATGTCATGGAAAGGAAGCCACGAAGCAGGACAGTGACCCAATCTAAATGCACACCCTCCAGTACAGAGAGCAGCCACCCGCCCCATGAGCCTGCTGAGCACCTGAGATGCGGTGGGTCCACGTGGAGATGCACTATGAGTATAAACTACATTCTAGATTTTGAAGAATTAGACAAAAAACCATTTCTAGTAATATTTAATTGTTACATGTTGAAATTGTAGTATTTTAGATATATTGGATTACATATTACATGAAATATACTCCTAAATTACTTTTGCCTATTTTTCCTTTAAATATGGCAACTAAAATTTTAAAAATTACCTTTGTGGCTCACATATATAATTGCATTATATTTCTTCTCTCTTAAGATTTTTAATTGTTTTCTTTTTAGAGAGAAGAAGGAAGAGGGAGAGGCAAACATCATTGATCTGCTGCCTCCTGCATGATCCCTACCAGGGATCTAGACTGCAACCAGGGCATGTGCCCCTGACCGGCAACCTTTTGGTGCATGGGATAACGCCCAACCAACCTCATGGGCCAGGGTTCATTGGATTCTATTTCTAATGGTCAGCACTGATCTAGATCATTCTCTCCCTTCTGTGCTTTCTAACTCTTCCAACATCTCTCCAGCTTTGTCATGCAGTTTGCTCCCTCTTGTGGTCTGTGGAGATCTTTACATGTACTAATTCACCTTAATCCTCTCTCAACAGCCTCTTGAACTTTCCAAGTAATGCATACAATATATTAGTTTCAGGTGTACAACATAGTGATTTGACATTTCGATACTTTCAGAAATTATCATCATGATAAGTCTAATAAGTATGTCACCCTACAGAGTTGTTACTATATTATTGATTATATTCCCTATGCTGTATACTACATCTCCATGGCTTATTTATTTTATAACTGGAAGTTTGTACCTCTTATTAAACTTGACCCTTTTCATCCATCTATCCACCCCTCCTCTCTGGCAACCATTAGTTTGCTCTCTGTGTCTGTGAATTTGTTTCTCTTTTTGTTTTGTTCGTGTGTTCTGTTTTTCAGATCCCACACATAAGTGGCATCATGTAGTATCTGGCATGCTATTGTTACTATACTTCTGCCACAGGGACTTTGGACAAGTAGTTCCTTTTCCCTGCATCCTCCTGTCCCCTCCTTCATCTAGTTTTACTTTACTCCTATCACCTTCAGAAATGAACTCAAATGTACCTTTCTCAGGCTAGCCTTTCTAGCTCCCCACTCAAAGACTAGTTCAGGTTTAACTGTCATATATTCCCATGAACTTTTCATTCATAGGGAGCACGTAAGTTCCCTTGTCACTGTGCATTCACTAGTTTTTATTAATGTCTGTCTTCCCCAGACATATCTATTTTCCTCTCCTACATTCTAGCACCCAGTCCAGACCCATGGAAGCATTTAGGTTTCCTTACGTGCTAATGAAGGGAGGTTTTGCAGCAGCAAACCCCAAGTTCTCTTACCTGCCGGCCATGGCTTTGTAGTAAGCGAAGATCTGATCCGCCAGCTTATAGACAAACTGATCAAAACACAGGTTCACCTGGCGAAGAGGAAGCAGAACACGTCAGTGGTGTCTGTCCAGCTTTACCACAGAGACTTGGGCAACTCAAAGAGGGCAGTGGGCAGGTCTGCCTGAAGCTGTGGGGCGAGAGGCTTTGAAGGAAAAAGAAAAAAGATTATATGGCCAAGTCAACTTTGGGAAACCTTGTTCCTTGTTCTGAAGGTCCTCAGTGAGGCACAGAGAAGGCAAAGTTCAAAAAGCTGTTGAGAAACCGCCCTCCCCACTAGTCCCCTCCTCGGTGTTACAAGGGGCCTGCCCAAGGGGGACGTCACAGACAGGTCTTCATGTCCTGTAATGACTCATGTCGGCCTCCCATGGCCACCTCTCATGACAGACTTTCTTGTCTTTTCCTTTCCCTGTACTTAACGTTGCTTTGCAAATAAAGAGGTGGATGGTCATTAGAAGTTTAAACACTCAAAAAAATACAATGCTTAAAAATCTTTGATTTTCAGCGAACAAGGGGCTGTCTTGCCATGTCAATATTTCATCCCAATGGTGATGCTCGGGTGGGAAGGAAGTTCACATCAGACACAGAGGATCAAATCCCAATCCTCCAATCCAGCAAGAGCAGGAAATGGCTGAGGGTGAAATTTCAAAGGGGAGTGGCAGTGTAATGTCAAAGGAAACAGATCATATTTAGGTAATTCATCTTTGATTCTTTTCTTACCAAATTCTCAGCTCTATATCCAAAGAGCTTTCATGCCTTTTGTTTTACACCCCAGGTGGCACATACAGTGCTGGCCTCATATGCAGGTAACCAAGGCATCCGACCTGGACTTGAACTTTAAGGGCGCTGGTTGGTTCTCCTTTAGGCAAAGAGCCTGCAGGGTCCAGGTGGGGGTGCCCACTCATACCCCATGATCCTCCTCTTGAACCAGCTTTGAGCATCCTTGCCCAAGTGGCTCAAGCCCCTTCCAGGCTCTGCATGCTCTTTCCCCTGAGTTTAACCTTAAGGGTGAACTATACTGTAGGTATGTGCACCCCCAGGGCTGGCCAAGAGGCCATTTTTTGTGGCCATGGTGGTAGACGAAGCTTGGGTATCCATGTACATATACATGAGGTCCTTCAGGGTGGGAAACAGGGTTTGGGGATGGGAAGAAAAAGGGGTCAGGAGACACAGAAGATTGTATTTCAACTCCCATAGAAATTAGAGGATCTAGAAAGAAAGCAGCAGCTCTACTAGCTTTTCTTTGAAATACATAAACTTTCAAACAAATCTGGTGGCACTGCATACCCTAAAACATTCAAGTCTTTCCTTTATAAATAAGAATGCCCTATATTTGTATGACAATTTTACCAAATGGGCCTCGTTCCATGTTTATAGAATCTCACATGCTTAAGTGGAACAGAGACTATCATCCAATTTCAGAAGGTAAAACTACGTCATTAGTTCCTTTGATCTCATGTTTCTGCCCCTTGCTGGCCCATGGAAGGACTGCACTTCCTTGCTCCTCTTTGAAAGGAGGCACAGCCACGTGACTTGCTTTGACCAATGGCCTGTGTCACTTTCAGGTGGAAGCTTTAAGTATCAAAGTATCAGAATGTGATTCACCCTAACCCTTCCCCCTGCAACTAATAAATATTCCAGATGGGTCCCACACTGAAGACTACATAGAATAGAGGCCCCAGCCAACCCATACTAGAGAAATAAACCTTTGGTTTCAAGCTACTAAGACTTTGGGGTTGGTTGTTACTGCATCACAACCTAGCTTATCCTGACCATTACAGAAATAAACCCTCTCTAGTAAACAGCTTTACCAATTGAAAAGATGGCTATGTCAGTCCTATCAGTACTATACAGAGACTCGGTGACCTTGGGGTAATGACATCTGACCCTTGACATCTCAGATTTATTATCTGTCAAATAGGTGGTAGCACAGATTTTTAAAAAATTGTTGTAAAGATTACTTAAAATGTTTATATAGTGCTTAGCACTATGCCTGGCAAATGGTAAATACATAATAATTGATAGGTGTATTACTGTTGTTTTTATTAGCCAAGTAATCAAACCATAAAAGACCTATTGGAAAATTAATTTTACCCAAGCAGTCCTATCATGTCCCATCCCTTGAAAAAGAAAGACCTCATCCTGGTCTAGGTCCTTTAAGACAACCACTATGTTTATGAAGAGCACTCTCTGGAACCAGTCACTGATCCCATGCTATGGTCTCCCCCAAATTCATATGTTGAGATCCTAACCCCCAAGGCTGATGGTATCAAGAGGTGGGGCCTTTGTGGGGCGGGGGATTAGGCCATCAGGGTGCAGCCTCCATGAATGGGATTAGTGCTCTTACAAAAAGACCCCGAGAGCTTCCTCTGGGCTTCCACCTCATGAGGACATGGTGAGAAGTCTGTGACCCAGAAGAGCACCCTCACCCGCCCATGCTGGCACCCTGGTCTCAGACTTCCAGCTCCAGAACAGTGAGAAACACGTGTCTGTTGTTTATGAGCCACCCAGTCTGTGATACTGTTACAATTTGAATGGATTAAGACACCCAACTTGTGCCAATAGCTAAAGATGGGGAAAGTCCAGACTCCTGGAATAAGCCTTCAGGAACAGAGGGAGAAGCATCACTTGCCTCGGCTTCGATCTCGTCGTACAGGAACTGCTTTTTGAACTTGGTCAGAGCATAGTAGGCGCTGTCATTGTACAGGTCCAACGGGTAGAGGACGTACCTGAAGAGGAAAAAACAAGGACCAGCAGCTTAATAACCATCTCTCTTATGGCAGCCAGACTTCCATCTGCTCGGAAACATGAAGATTTGGGAGAAAGCTAGAAAAGGAGAATTTTCAGCACTCTATGTTTCCAGCCTCCACTTAGGAATGGCTTACTTTACAATCTGCCCATAGAAATCAAAAGTCCATGATGCTAATAAATCCAGGGCCTGAAAAAATGAGTTAGCTTCCTAATCCCCAGAGATGATAACTCCCCCAGCATGACTGTTAAGAGAATGACAAAGCGTAGGAGGGGCAGATGGGCTGGTAGACTTCTGAACCTATCTGCAAGGCTGAGTCAAATCTGGTGTGGCCTTGGCCTGGCATAATGCCTCATCTGGAAAGCTTGGGGGGAAAACAGAGCTCGCTGGCAAACTAGCCTCCACCTGCACCCCAGGAACCTCCTCGCTGGCCCAAGCCTGCGTCTTACTCCATCATGGAAGGTTCTTTGGTTTCCAGGATATGGTCTGTCAGGATCCAGGGCATGGACATCTCAATGGGAAACTGGATCCGCCGGCCCATGGTCAGCTCCAGGAAGAACTCTCGGAACCAGAGCTGGGAGAGGTCACAGCACTGCTGCAGGGCTTCTGGAAAGCACGAGGGAAAGGCCTGGGTTACAGTGGAGCACGAAGGGCCTGGGAGCGGACTGTTTATGAATGTTACTGTTATTCTTATGGCGGTGCTGGAGCACAGCAGGTCCTCAGAGGTATGACTTGACCGTAGACCCTGCTCTCTTGAACTTGAATGCCAGGCTAACGTTAGAAGACAGGGTTTGCTAAGCTTCAGAAGCAGAAACAGTGTGTGTGGGCAGTGGTGGTGGTGATATTTTAGAGCTTTTGGTGCCCCTACAATGTCCACTTCCCTCCCCCTGCTCCAAAGTCATCCTGAAAATACTTGCCATTCAAAGTGTGAAGACAGGCCTTAGGTGTCTGCTTTTACCTGAACTGCAGCTCCGTGACCCCTTATACGTGATAATTCTGAACTCACTGCTCGGAGGCCTTGAAGGCCCTTCCAAGGCTGCTTCTGTGAAGAACTTGGGACTATTGGCTAAGATCTCTCTTCAATACCAACAGATGCCTGACCACTCCCACCACTCTGGGCTGCTACTGTCCCTCTACTCTGCCCTGTCACACCTGTGCACACATCCTACAGACAGAAGAGGAGGAGTGGGGGACACAGGGCTGAGGTGCAGCCGGGAGCCTCCTTTGCTAGGAGCAACGAGCACTCATGGGCTCAGAGCTGCTGCTTAGATGCAAAACGCTGGCCCTAGGTGCGTCTGTGCGCACTGCTATTTTGATCCCCTTTACTAAGGACTTCATGCCCAGTCAGCCACAATGTCTACCGGACAAATATTTCCAGCTAAGTCAGAAGAGCTGGACTGAGCCGGGCCTTTCCTGGCTCCCAGAGTCCACCGGCAAGTGTGCGTTTTTTTCCTTAGTGGCCAATGTGCCCCTTGGGTCAGTGATCACAGCTCTCTGCAACTCTGGCCTCCTGACAGCTCAGTGGCTCTGGGACTGGGGAGCCCCCACGCTCACCACTGATGTTGAGCAGGTGTGTGAAGAAGAAGGACTGCTTGTGGAAGTCCTCTATGGCGAGGACAATGGGGCCGTCCAGGCTGCTCCTCAGGGTCTTCTTGGAGCCGCTCTTGTCTGCGATGAGCGACTCGAGCATGGTCCGCACCATGTACAGCTTGAAAAAGAAAGACGGGCAGGTCAGGGGCTGGCCCTGCATCCGGGGGAAGGATGCTTTGTGCTGCACTTATATATATATTTTCTGAAGATGCCCTTATAAAGCTTTGTCTTGGGAAGCACCCATTTTGGGGTTGGAGAAGTGAATTTGGAACGTGTAAACTTTCAAGCGGGAGGCCAGCCAGCCCGGGAAGGCAGTTCTGTCTGGGGCCTGCGGCATCCCTGGGTAGGTGCACCGGGTAGAACTAGGAAGTTCAAGGTCCAGGTTCCTGCTTGCTCTCTCAGCCAAGGATGTGGGCATCAGAGGAGAACCTCATTCCATGCCACCCTGGAGTCCCTGCCTTCCTGGACAGCCACGGTAGCACCATGAGTGGAGCATTGGATCAAGAGTCAAAAGACTGGGGTGTCAAGGCCAGGCACTGCCGCTGACTTGCTGTGTGACCTTGGGCAACAGAGTCCCACTCCAGGCCTCAGTTTTCTTATCTGCCAACATGAAGGGGTTGTAGCTTTCGCAAACCAGTCCCCTTCAGCGCTAACACTCTGAGAACTGTGAAATGGGAGATTATCAGAACAAGCCCCCACCACCTCAAGTTTTTGACCCTCAGTATTTTGAATCCATCGCCCTTTGGTGGCACCAGCTGCATGGCACAGCCTGCCGAAATCCTGGGTGAAGACTGGTACTTACACAGGAGCCTACTAGACAATTAACTCCCTCTTACAGAAGACCTTAAGTGCAAAGGGTACAAGTGCTAATCTAGATCTTTCCACATCATTTGTCTTTGAGTCTTAGGGCTGGAAGGGGCCTCGAGGAGCCAGGCTAGTCCATTCCTGCTGCCTCCTGGAGAAGTGTACCCAAACCAACCCAGCCAGGCGGTGTTATACCAGGGATCGGCAGCCTCTTCGGCCCTGTGTGCCACCAGTGGGGTGAAACAAAGCCCGCGGGGACCACTGGCAGGCCTAAGACATAGATAGGAGAGAGGAGGAGGGGTTGGGAGGGCAGGAGAGACAGGGAAGAGGGAGAGAGAGAAAAGAGAGAGAGAGAGAGAAAAGCAAGAGGTATTGTATACGGTGGGAAAGCCGTCACGACTGCTAGGGGCCACTTGCCGACCACCTCTGAGATGCTCCAACCTCCCTCTGCCACAGGTCCATCCTTCTCTGGGACCTCACCCACCATGTGCACTGCGCAGGGCAGCGAGGCCACAGAAAGGAGCAGCACCATCCTACCATAGCCTTCCCTTCTAGGTAAAGGAGCTACCATGGATGCCGGTCTATCAGACGTCCACCCTCTGCAACCCTGTCGGTGGGCATGTCTATCACCCCTAAGAACCGAGAAGCCCTGTTCTAGCGATGGCCTTGGAGGCCTCGAAGAAAGCATTCTTATGTCCATCCATGTGAGTGTTGATTGATTTATATCAAATTCTAACGACTTGTCCATAAGAGGGGGAACTCTTTTCCCACCTCCTTTTAAACAGAGCATTTGACCCACCAGGACAGTCCAGCTACGCTGGATGCCCATGTCGACTGTGCTCCGAAGTCTCTAGCAGAGCCCCGGGTGGGAGTCAGGAGACCTGGTTCTTGTCCCACCTCAACCTGTGACTCACCTTGCGGCTTGGACAAGTCACTTCCCCTCTCTGGACCTCAGTTTCCCCATCTGTAAAATGGGGGGAGGGGCCTGGGACTAGTTTGTGTCTAGGGGTGCTCCCAGCTCTGACTGTCTAGGAGCCTATTAAATGCATCTGTGCCACCTAACATGACTCGGTGGTGCTGAGGGGCTGATTGCTGGTGACATGCACCTTTCGCTTGTCTATATAAATAGTCCTGCTCTCTCCTCTCTCTTCTGTCTCTTTCTCTGCCTGCTGGTCCCCCTTGCTCACCTTCCTCCTTTCCAGTTTCTCTTGTGCCTTGTCTGTCTCTCCCTCACTCATGTCTAGGACTCACAGAAACACCGAAAGCCCTGCTCAGCTCCTCTGGGGCATTCTGGGATAGAAAGGTCTCTGGCCCCTAACATTACACAGAACTCTTTGCAGAAGCTTCCTCAGGACGGTCCACAACCAGCAGGCAAGGTGAGTGCACACTGACCACAGTTGGGAAATCAGGGGATGTTAATGATGACAGAGCTGAGAACACACCTCGCCCCTGTCCCTCTGCCCCGTCCCCCTGCCCAGACACAGACACACACACAGTGAGAAAGGTCAGGGATGGCTCCTCTCAGGGACTCAGGATTTCAGGGCGGAGAAGCTGAAAGGTCATGTGAAGTGGGAGTCCCCAGTCTGGGGCTTCCGGGGCCTGGACGACCTTTAAATGCTTCCATGGAGCCATATGCTTTCCCCCAACACCTCGTAAGCCTACCGAAAACTGGCTGTCCTTTAAGAGATTTAACTAAGATGCCCAGATTCTTTATTTTTTTTCCCCCTGGAATTTGACAACTGCTTTGGATAAGCCACAGGCAACCTGTTGTTGTTCAGAAGCTCCAGCTGGAAACTTTGAATATCTCTGATTACTAGACATTCTCTAAGGAGTCAAGGGCTTTCAATACTTGTCCTTCTGGGGTCATGGGGGGAATAAAAAGAAGGACCTAATCAGAAACATGATCTCATGCAACGTTTTCATTTAACAGAGAAGACAGTCAGAGCTCAGAGAGGTCGGCACTTTCCCAAGATCACAGGGCAAGTCAGAGGCAGAACCTGTGAATTCCCAAGCTCGGATGTCACTGCAGGGGAAGGGGCAGGGTTCATTAAAGAGGGACAGGGCAGATGCACAGAGTCTACTTCAAACTCCTCCTATACTTTGGAACCAGTCCTGGTAATACCCCCATTTGCCAGATTAGACAACTGAGGCACAAAGAGATTACATAACGTGCCCAAGGTCACACAGGTATCTAGGACGAGAATCCAGGTCTCCTGAATCTTAAGCCAGTGGTCCTCCCTCCTGTATCAAAACCAGATGGTAGAATAAGACTAGAGCAGCTGCTTGACCCTGCCCCTCCTGCCCGAGGACCCCCGGCCCCAGTGCCCTATGGTCCAGCCAGGATGACCTACCAGGGCCTGGCTGGCCTCAGTCAGCAGAGCTGGCTTGTGCCCAGAGCCGCTTACCTGTGTGCTGGAGGGCCCCACAGCACGCCGGGGCACCTTGATGTCAAATCCGCCTTTGGGATCCTTCTCCCCTCTTAGGCATGGGTCATTGGGGGGCTCTCGGCCACCCTCCCAGTCACAGATGGTCTTCCGAATTGCCTGCAGGACACTGGGAAGGAAGGACGGAGGCTCAGACTCGGTTTTAGCACCAGCAGGAGGGAAACACTGCAAGCCTGTTTCTAGGGTCTATGGTGCCCCAGGGCCACTTTCCCAGAATTCCTGGGGTGCTTGTCAAAGGTGCTCATCCTGGGCCCCACCCCCGAGATGCTGGTGTAACAGATCTCAGGTGCAGTCCAGAGTCTGCATTCTACAGGCGCCCAGGTGATCCCAATGTCAATGCTACCTGAGACCTCAGCTCTGAGCCTGTGCAGGGGCTAAGAACTCAAGTGAGGTAGGACGGCTGTTTCTGTTTTTGGTTATAGGAGAGTCTCATTAGTCCAATTATATCTCTGATTATTTAAAGCTTTAATAATAGCTTATATTCATTGCACTCTTACTCCACGTGGCTGTGTGCTTAGGTCTACACGTGGATTATCCAATTTTTCATCCCAACAGCCTATGAGCAAGAACCATTATCATCCACATTTTACAAATGAGGGAAAGTGAGGTTCAGAGAAGGTAAGTAACTTGACGGGGTTCACCTAACTAGACGGCGGTGGAGATGGGCTTCCAACCCAGAGACTGAGGACCAGTCATCTCAAATGTCCAGTCTCCTAAGAAGGTTTCCTAAAACCTGCTGGATGGTCTGTGTGATCAGAGGCTGCCCTGGAAGCTGACTGAGCAGGGATCTTCCTCTGTGCTCTGCACCTCGCACCCCTGATTTCCAATGTGCCCCTGAAAAGGGCCATCAGAAGACCCACCTGATAAGAACGTTCTTCTTCTTCCGCACCGCCTGCCTCAGGGGCTCGCGCAGCGTCACCTGGGCAAAGTCCTGCAGGGCCGCGTAGATGGTGTTCCTGATGGCCTGGTTGAAGACGCTCTCCATCCTGCCCATGAGCACCTGCAGGCCTTTGATCATGGCGATCACCTGCCGGGCACAGATCAAGGTCAGGCTCCCCGCACCTGGGCACACCTGTCTGTCCAGCACCCTTCACCGCATCGTAGGGAGGGTGCTGGGTGAGATGCCAGAAGCACGAGGCCAGCCAGTGCTACCTCGAGTGCCGATCCATGGCTAGGTTAGAAGCGAGTGCTGGAATGGAAATCGGCACTCTGCCCTCCATCAGGAAAGCCCTGCGGCCAAGCAAAGACGTCGCTGCCGATTTTCATTCCGGCACCAGCTCCCTACCTTGCTGCGGACTGGTGACAAACGGCAGCTGGTCCATGGACCGCATTTTGAGTGCCACTCTGACTTCTGTGGCCTCTCCACACAGCATGCACCCACAGGCCATATCTAATAGAACTTTTTTTTTTTTACCATACACATTTTAAAAAATTTTTTACAATCTTTGCTTTTGAAATAATTTGGCCAGCTGCTGCTTGAACCCGTAAAATAGGGTTCCTGTAGAAGACTCGGGGGGAAGCTCCTGTCCCTCTAGTTGCCTCCTCCCCAGCCCCTTAACTCACTAATCCGCCTGCAGACGTGGGGAGACTGGTGTCTGTGATGAGTATAGCCCTTGGTGCTCTTTCTTGGGATCTTGGGATCTGCCTGCCCCCAGGGCGAGTGTCCTCTCCCCTGGGTTACTGTCTTCTCTTAATCATCCCCTCCCTGCCCAGGAAGGGAGCATGTATTTCTGTAGCTGCTTTGCCTGTTTCCCAGTGGGTATGTTTAATGGGATGGGGGAGAAATAGGAAGTCTGGTGTGGCCTTGGGTGGCAGACACAATCTCTGGTCCAGCTTTACCAGCAACAAACCTAATCCTTAACCCCGCACCCCCACCCCCGTTAGCCTCAAGTGCTCATTCCTAGATTGGTTCAGAATTCAAAGAAAGCATGTGCCACATCAGCCTCATGACAACACCACACTTATCACACCCGTTAGCAGTGGAAGTGCCAGGAGGTCTGGGGAGCACTCAGCTCCAGGCCAAGTATGATTACAACTACACCCCTGAACCCCAGTCCTTCAAGGTGCAGCCTGTAGATGTGCAAAATAGCAACCTGAACTCCTGCTATGCTCTGACCCTTTCCAGCTTCCATAGCTCATCGACATCATTATCCCCTTTGACAACTGTTGTTTGGTTCTCAAGAATAACCCTGGGATGAGTGGGTAGAGACTGTCGGGTCCATTTTACAGATAAGGAAGTTGAGGCTCTGAGAGATGAAGTGACCTTGGGCCCAGGGCTAGGATCCAGGTCTCTGACTTCTAGGCTTCAGGTGGTCATGAAAGAGGTAGCTGTCACTCACAACTGAGTGTGAATGAGTCTCCCCCAAATAGAAATATCTTTTTGCAATGAAACAAACAGAAATTACCACTGTCAATATAAAAACTTATGTCTTTCAGTTTTGAGTAAATATTCAAAAGTATATCACTTTTACTATAAATGGGGTCATTTTTTACATGCTGTTCTTTAACCTGTTTAAACTCAACAATACACTGTGCATATCTTTCCACATCAGTACCTCCATCTTAGTGGCCACACAGTTTTCGATGACATAGCGGTACCTTCATTTATTTTACCTGGTCCCATACTGAGGACATTTCAGTCGTTTCACATATTTTGGTATTATAATCAATACTGTGATAAATATCTATGTGCACATGTCTTTGTACAATTGGCTTAATTCCCTGGGATATATTCCTAGAACCTTCTGGGCCAAAGGGTATGCACATTAAACATTTGGGTACAGCCACTCAGACTGCCCTCATAGAAAGACTGTAAAATGTAGATGGGCTACCCAGTCTCTGAGAAGGTCTATTTCCCACGCTTCACCCAGCCACAGGCATCACCAACCTTCCAAGTCCTTACCATCCTGACTGGTCAACAACACTACCTCATCTTAGTTTCAATCTGCAGTTCTCTCTGAACACTCATTGGTTTGGGCATTTTTCTTAGCTTTTTTTTTTTTTCTGAGCTCTTTCAGCCATTTTTTGGTTGGTTTGTTTCTGCTGCTGGTTTTCTTTTTGCCCATTTTTTTCTAGTGGCGTGAACACTTTCCTTTGGATTTTTAAGAACAGAATGAGTTTCTAATCGTTTGTGACTAACCTGACAGAGATGAATGTGGGGGGCAGGAAGGGGACGGGAAGTGCATGCACAGGAGGGGACCAAGGCTGCCGTCTCGCTGGAAACCATTCCCTCCCACTGCGGGACCCTGAGCAGCAGCCTTGGGGCTGGAGGAGACCGGCACCCACCTCCACAAAGGCGAACTTCTCCTCGCTGGTGTAGTTGTAGCGCGTGGCTCTCTCGTACTCCTCGGCCGTGCCCGGGCAGTCCTTGTTACAGAACTTGTCGGTGGGGTGAACCAGCTTCCAGGAGTACTGGGTGGGGGGTGGGGGTGGGGAACAACACAAATGCCCATCAGTGGAGCAATGGACAGACAAAAGGAGGTGTGACCATGCCCTGGGAGACTATTCAGCCACTGAAGGGAATAAAGTACTGATTCATCCTACAGGATGGATGGACCTTGAAACCATACAAAGTAAAAGAGGCCAGCCACAAAAGACCACATAATATAGGATGTACTTTAGGAAATAACCAGACTCGGAAAATCTATGGAGACAGAAAGTAGATGAGGGTAGGGGAGACAGGGCATGGAGGGGGGGGGGTGCAATTGATTTTTGCAGTGATGAAAATGCTCTAAATGTGTGATTGCACCACTCTGTAAATATACTGAAAACCAGGGACTCTACATTTTAAATGGGTGAGTGGCATGGCATGGGAACTGTATCTCAATAAAGCTGCTATAAAAACGGTGCTTGGGGGAAGGCAGAGGCAGACAGGTTCCAAGTGAACCGAGGTCGGTCTGAAGGGGCAGGCGATGGACAGCCTCCGCCTGGGGCACCTACCACCTCCATGACGTGGGCGCTCCACTTGGATAAGAGCTGCAGGCCCCGCAGGGCCAGGTCGAAGAGCTCGCGGTACTCCTCGTCGGACTTCTGGCTGTCCAGCCCCGAGCCCGTCACCACCTGGGGAGCATGAGCAGTCACCCCCACCATCCACGTGCCCGGCACTTTTATGCATTACTTCATTGATTCCCCTAAGATCGCTACACGAGCTGCTTTATGACATCCCCTTCACAGATAAAGGGAGGCTCGGACAGTGTCCTGCTGAGTGAGTTAATGTTCATGAAACAACAACATCTATTACATAAGATGACTTTAATCAGAAAAGCACAAGGTTCATCGGATGATGAAAGGGTTGTGACCAGATACAGGAACCTAACCCAGTATTTCCCCCGGGGAGCCATGGTTCAGAATTGGTTAATTCAGTGTTCATGGCCACTTCATAGAACATTATTGCGAATAACGAGAACGGTCTGCATATACACACATATAAAGCGTATGATTTAAAAATAACTTTGAGCCAGACTCATTCTTAGACCACAACCAAAACTTCACAAGGAATAAAGGAGACCCCTGCTCTTAAAGTAGGGGTCCCACAGCCTTAGTTCAGTTGACTGGCACATATGGTTAAGAAAGTCCAAGAGTTTGCACTTGTCCCTGGTCCACGCCCACTGGCCTAAGACCACACTGTCCGCATTTGTCTGGCTGTCCTCATTTCAAATACATTGCCTCTTTGATACAAGGTGTTTCCGAGTTTGGGTTTGGAAAGCATGGGCACTGTGGCTCCTAGCCACATGGTACAACCAGTGAGCAAACATGGGACAGTGCAGTCATCTACCCAAGAGCTCCAGGTAACAAAGGAACTCAAATCAGGACACCTGTGCTATTAAACCAATATATACACTCATTGGAAGGGTTTAGTGCAGTGGTTCTCAACCTTGGCTGCACATTAGAATCGCCTGGGAATCTTTTTAAAATCCTGGTTTCTGGGCCTCATCCTCCGGAAATTCTGTTTCTTTGTTATGGGGAGGGCCACAACATTCTGCCCTCCTGCCTCTAGCGGGTATTCCCTCACTCATGCTCTCCATCATCTCTGTGGTCATTTCTGTCCTGCCTGGTCCTCACTCCTTCTCACCAGAGGCGCACACGGGCTCCATCCTAGCAGCTGGAGTGAGCTCACCTCACTGTTTCTTTGTTATGGGGAGGGGCCACAACATTAGTAACAAAGAAACAGAATTTCCGGAGGATGAGGCCCAGAAACCAGGATTTTAAAAAGATTCCCAGGTGATTCCAATGTGCAGCCAAGGTTGAGAACCACTGATTTAGAGGGAAGAGATTCAGGAGTATATATACACTCAAATGTCAATCATAGTCAGTTCTGGGTGGTAGGATCTTACATGACTGATTTTCCCTCCTTTTGCATATCTTTTTTTTTTTTTTCCTTCTGAGGTTTGAGCATTTACTATGTCCCTAATTGTATTTTCTGGCTTGTTCAATGATCAGTCATTATTGTGTAATTTTAAAATATTTAGATGGTGTTATGAGCAGGCCTGTTTAGAACTCTTTCTTTTGCTATCTAGGGTGGAGATGGTTTGGAACACGTTCTAACAATTAATTCCCAATTACTCTGCTAGGCACAATGTGTTTTTTGTGCGTCAGAGGGTTTAATCCTCTCAATGAACCTTTCTGGATACTATTACCCTCATTCTGCAGAGGAGGAAATGGGGGCAGAGATGCTGCATCACTTGTGACAGTCAGCAGCAGAACCAGAATCAAACTCAGTTCTGTGTGGCTCTAAAATCCATGCTCCTGGCCATTCTGCCCTCCTGCCTCTAGCGGGTATTCCCTCACTCCTGCTCTCCATCATCTCTGTGGTCATTTCTGTCCTGCCTGGTCCTCACTCCTTCTCACCAGGGGCCCACACGGGCCTCCATCCCAGCAGCTGGAGTGAGCTCACCTCACTGTTGCTGTAGCGAGCGAGTTCGGAGATGAAGCGGATGTGGTCATCTCGGATCTGAACCATCTGCTCGCAGATATTGTACTGGGGGCTGATGCTGCTCTGGGTGCAGGTCCACCTGGGCAGAGAATCACAGGGTCGGAGCAGGTCCTGGTCTCAGGCGCCTGGCGGGACAGGCTCCTTCCACTTACATGCTGCTCCTGGTGCCCAGCCAAGGTGGCTGGCTCCCCTGGGTAGAACCAAGGGGTAAACCAGATACGAGCACGACAGCCTGTTCATCCCACATCGTGGGGATCACAGGCTGAACGGACCAGCCCTTCCTCTTCCTCTAGGACCCAATCACAGCTTTTCCAGATTCCTGGTGTCCACGTACTTACCAGTTACACGAGTGAGAAGGGAACTGCAGCCTCTCTAGGGCTACAAAGGCCTGGAATCCACACAAGGAAAAAGCAGGGTGGGTGACCTCCCCAAGCCTGTCTACTGACTCTGACATCCTGAGGTTGAAGCCAGCTTTGGAGGGGCCTAAAGGGAAGGACTTTTCAACCATGACCCAGTAACATGCAAGCAAGCACTTCATGGTGAGGGAGGTCATAGTCATTCATTCTCTCTCTCTCTCTCTCTCTCTCTCTCTCTCTCATGGTCATTCTCTCTCTCTTTCTCTTTCTCTCTTCCTCCTTCCCTCCCTCCCTCTTCAACCTCTTATTCTTCTATCACCTCTTCCTCCTCAACCATTATGTTTAAACTTATTATTGGGGGAATCAGCCTGAATTGGAGAGGAAATGAATGAATGAAAATCTTCACTCTCCTTCCCCAAGAGAAAAAAGACAGGCCCCTTTGCCCTCTAGTGCTGGGTGACCCGGTAGACAGATTAAAAGCACAGTCACCAAAAAAGGCAGATAAACGTTTTGGCAAGAATTTAATATTTCAGCCCAGTCCAGTGTGGATCAGTGGTTGAGCATTGACCTATGAACCAGGAGGTCACAGTTTGATCCTAGTCAGGGCACATGCCCAGTTGGTGGGCTCAATTTCCAGGGGGGGCCTGCAGGAGACAGCCAATCGATGATTCTCTTTCATCACTGATGTTTCTATCTCTCTATCTCTCCCTTTCCCTTCTTCTCTCTGAAATCAATAAAAACATATTTGGGGGGGAGAATTTAATATTTCAAAGGGAGCCCTGAAGTGGCCCTCACAGAATGTTCAGGACGGTGAGAGGCTTCCTCATGCTGGTTTTATTTTGGGTCAGCAGCGTAGGGATGGGGACACAACCACTCTGACTGCCGCCGCCCCACCCTGGCCGCATCACTGTTCCCAACCAACTTCCGGTGGCAGGGAATTCATGCAGAAACATGAGGAAATGAGTGCAGCATTCTGGACTCCATGCTTTTCCTAGAAACCTCCCGCCGCTCTGGCAGCCAGCGGGTTATGAAGAGACTAACCCAGATTTCATTGGGCTCAAGGCTGACAGTTTTAAGGCTTTAGCCCTGACTAAAGGACGGTCAACCCCTCCTCTACCCTCCCCACCCCCACCCCACCTCCCCGCCGCCATATGGAAAGGTCAAAACCACCCAGCTTTGGAATGAGACGCAGGCAGAAGAAACCTCTTAACAACCCCCAGAGATAAAGGCTGTAGCTGGGTGTCCCCATTCCCATGAGGCACTGACACCCCAGACCCCAGATCTTAGCGTGGATTCCCTAGGATGGTGGTTTACAGAATGACCTAAGGTGAGGCCATCAACCAGTTCACGTGGCTGGAGCTGTCCAAACCATACGCGCTACGGCATACTTACTGCATGGACACGAAACCTGAGGAGGCAATCAGGGTGATAAAGAATGATGTCATCTTGCTTCTCAAGGAAGGACTCCTGCTGTCCCAGTGCAGCTGGGACGGAGAAGGGGGTGTGGCTGTGCTCTGAGCACTTTTGAACCCCAGCGGCAAAGGGTGGATACAAAAGGGCTCAGAGCACCCTCCACTGCTCCCCTCTGGAATCCACCTGCCCAGGGCTCTGGGGAGGGGGGAGGGACTGAAGTGGCCCCTCGGCCCCCTGCCCGGGCTGGGCGCCTCGCGGGAGCCGAGAGACATTACGGCAGGCACTCACTTGGACTTGTTCTCTTCATAGTGAGCACTGGTCTTAATGTATCTGGCCAGCTCTATCTGCATGTCGCCGAATAGAGGCACCACCTGCAGCTGCTGCAAAGGAAGCAAACACAGCGCGTGAGACGCCGAGGGGGGACTAGGTGGCTGCCTTCCACCAGGGGAGGCAGCCTCCCTCCGTGAGCCTCTGGGCTGACCCCTCGCTCCTGCTTCCGATGATGCTTCCATGTGACCCTGGAGCCAAAAAGAGCCCCAGCCAGCATACAGGTTCCCTGCCTCCAACCAACTGTAGGATCCAGCAACTCAGCCCAGAGAGGCAGAGTAACTTGTCCAAGGTCACCCAGCAGGCAGACCGGGTGAAGGATGAGGACCAGATGGCCTGCCTCCCAGGGCAGGGTCCTTTCTGCTCTAATTTCCCTCGGATCGGATGATCCTGCTGCTTGGAACTCTGGACTAGGAGTGGGTGCCTGGATGCCACTGGCTGGTGTAGTGTTTCCGAGAAGCTCCAGTGTAAAGTAACTGAAATCATAACACCTAACACCAGAGGGCAGACAAGGCCCATCTGAAGACCAGGACAAACGGAGGGAGGCTGACATTTACTGTCTGCTTCTGATGCACTGGGCACATTGCCAACTACTTCAAAACCAGGGGGGGGAAATAGGGCAGTGTAACTACCTGTATGACACCATAGTGTGGATACATGTCATTCTGCATTTGTCAAAACCCATAGAATGTACAATGTCAAGAGTGATCCCTAATGTAAACTGTGGACGTTGGGTGACAATGACGGGTCAATGTAGGTTCATCAGTCATAACAAATGCACCACTCCGGTGGGGGTATTGATAATGGAGGAGGCTGTGCATGAATTGGGGTGGGGGGAGGGACAGGAGGTATAAGGAAATCTTCATACTTTATGCTCAATTTTGCTGTGAATCTAAAACTGCCCTTTAATAAAAATTAAAGTCTTTTAAACAAAACAAACAATAGTATCTCAAGTCATACAATAACCCCGTGAGGTCAGTACTATTACCATTCCCATTTCAGAGATGGAGTAAAGGAAGCTCAGATAGCATGAGTGATTTTTTTACAAAGTCAGACCAGCTAGAAGTCAAGGAGGCAGGACTATGAGCCAGGGTTCCGACTCACCAATGCAATCCCACTGAACCCTCAAGGGAACCCTATAACATGGGCCCCCTCAGTATTCATGGGAGGCTAGGAACTCAGTCTCAGAGGTTTCAAGACTTTCCCAAAGTCGTCCAACTCCTAAGTGGCAGAGTCAGAGGAAGCCCGGCCCATCCGAGGCGATGCCCAGTTCTTCCCCTCCACCCCATGTCATCACCCTGATGAAGGCAGAGGCACGCTTTGCACAGGTCCCCCGAGATGAGCCCTGTTTCCATTTGGGGCAGCTGCAGAGAAATTGAAAGTCCTAGTCTCGCCAAGAAGCCAAGGCACAGAATGACTGCTGGCGACTTATTTCCCCTTAACCTCAAAGAGTTGGTGGGACTCAGGCCCAGCCTGGTGTCCCCCATGTCACACCTGCAAAGGGGGGTCCGCTTTGAATGGTAAGCCTGGCTTTTCCAGGTCTGACCTCCAAAGCTCCACCCCATGCCAGCAGTGCCCAATACTAGCATCAACTGACAACATGGAATTCGTCTCCAAAGTAGGAAATCCTTTTGTGAAAACCTCAACGGCTTAGCTTAACCGCAGTGTTTTATTTTTAAAGATTTGGGGTGAGAAGATGTAATCTCTGGGGCACTGGGACAGACTGCGTGTACGAGGGAAGCTCTGAGCCACGCTGCCCAGGGGCAGGGCCAGCCAAGGTGGCCTCTGCTGGGCCAGGAGAGAGGCTGTGGTTTTGGCAACTGTCAATCAGTTTAAAGTGCAGTCTAATCCTTCTGCTCCTGTGAGTTCAGATTTCTACTGAAAAATAAAGCAGTCGCTGTCTTCTGCTATGTACCTCTGTTTACATAGCAAGGGATTTGGGGGAAAGGAAAAAGGAGTTTGCATATTGGATCCTGACAAATCCCAGCGGAATCCTCAGACTTGACCAAGTGTGACTTGTAAGGGGCTGCCTTCTGGTGCAGATTCCGCTACTAAAGGCGGCTGGAGGCCCTGCCATTCTATCCTCTTCCTCCTCCTGGGGCCTTTAGAGCTACAACCCAACCAACAAGCCTCACTGCTTGCTGGTTAATTTCATTTCTTTCCCTTGAGAGACAGCCCCTTGGTCCCTGCCCAGCCCCAGCCCCAGTGCTGACCTTAAAGAATTTATCGATTTTACTGAGGTTGATTCTCTTCTTGGCATCCAGTTTGTAGATGTTACTGACATTTCCATCCATCAGGTAGAGACCAAAACCCATCACCTGGAGTGAGAAGGGGCAGAGCACAGAAGCCTATCACATCTGATGGAAAAGTTAAAAAAACAAAAACAAAAACACAAAAAAGTCTGACTGTACAGAGGAAGCCAGAGTGAACAAGTCACAACGCCACGCTCCCTGCAAACTCCATCCAGGTGCCACGGAAAGGTAAGGAAGGGCACGTCAACGGGCCTGGGATGCTTAGACTAGCCGGAGTGACAAGGAGGAGAGGAGGAAAAAGCAAAGCCACCAGAGAGCTTTGAAAGGTGAGGTTCCGGGGAAGAAAGAATCAAATGGGGCTATGCCGTGTGTAAAAAGAATGTGGAGGCTGCTCATCTCAGTGCGACAGCTGTCAGAGGGAAATTAGGAACATCCTGAGCAGCTAACAATAAAATAACTAAAAAAAGGAAAGCTCACCCATACGATGGCATTAATATTCCAACACATTTAATGAAAAGGGATAAGACTTACATATGCATCATTTATGTATACCGCATTTGTTGAAAATATATAAGCATAGAAAAATGAGAAAGAAATACATAAAAATGCTAAAAGTGTTACCTCTGGAGAGAAAGATTGTAAGAGATTAATATTTTTTTGTGCTTCTCTGTTTAATTCAGATTTTTCTACAATGATCAATATTACTTGATAATTTAAAAATCAGACTTGTAAACTGATGGATCAAATATGACGATTTTGGCAAAACAGAGCAAATGCTTGAAGACTTTGCCTTCCTTTGGAGTTGGTTGTTTCTGTTCCTAGAAGTCAGACTCGACAAGGGTATGTACACAAAGGCTGTGCTATAAGAGTGTTCAATGCAGCTTAGCAAACAAATATCCAACGAGAGGGGATTGGTTAACTAACAATATCTCCATAGAATAGCATCCCTGGCAGCCACTAAAAGTTACATTGTGGAAATATCCTTAATGTCTGGAAAGGTGTAGATGACATGTTAAGGGGGGGGGGGGGGGGCGGGGAACAGGTTACAAAACATTCTGTGCAGTGGATATATATCCATGTTTAAGTAAGAAAAAATATATACCGTTTTTTAAAAAATGATTTAAAATAAGGAGGTGAGAGGTGGGTGCGTGGCCACAGCGGTTGTACCTTGAGGAGCATATGCTTCTCGCTGGGGGTCAGATACATCTTGTTCTCGTAGTAATCCACGCAGATGTTGACGATGTCCGCCAGCAGCTCCTCGTAGCCTGGGATCACTTCCAGTTGCTGATGGAGACACTAAACAGCAGCGTCCCCCTCTGGTCAGTTCCTTTTTCTGCTGTGGCACCCTCCTCATCCACACCATGTGATGGACCCCCCTCCCCCCACACACAAGCAGACCACTAGGGGAAGGAAGCCTGCATCCTCTCAATGTCCCCACAGTGGCTGGTCTGAGCTCCTGCACATCTCCCCTGGCAGGGAACTCACTCCCCTAGGGGCCCTCCATGTTATTCCCTGCCAGTTTCGATGGTTAGAAAGTATATGATTGGGCTGAGCTGAAAAGCAGCTCAGCGTTATAGCAGAAGGCCTGTTCGTCTTCCCAGTTTAGTTTTGAGGCTGTGGACTTAGCCATGGCGTCTCCTCAGATGATGGGGGATGGCCTACCCCGGGGTAGGAGAGCTGGGCCAGCAGCAGTCTCCCTCCTGGCAGGACACAGCAGTATAGAAAGAAACGCATCTCCCAAGAGAAGGGTCTGACAACATGGGACTGTGTCCCAGGAAAGAAACCTACAACCTCAAAGTTGACAGCCTTTTGCATTCAACAAGGAGTAGGGAGGGCCGAGCGAAGCCAGCAGCATCCCTGAGAGAGAGCCGAGTCTCCAAAGCCTTCGAAGATGGAGGGCCCACTCAGCCTGAGTCCTGCTGACATTCTTGCTGGTGCCTGTTTAGGCTGAACTGACAGATGAGCAAGACAGGTTACGTCAGACAGAGCGTGAGAGCCACCGCCCAGCGGGGGTACCCTGGCCAAGCAGTGGCAGTAATAACAGCTCCATTTTCTTATGCCCTTGCCATCTGTCAGGCTCTGCATACAGAGGGCTTTTGATACAGAATCTCATGTATTTCTCACAACAGTCCTATCACATGGATTCTCATAACATTCTCAAAATCCCAGGCCCGTTTTACAGATGAGAAAACCGAGGCTTAGACCTTGCCCAAGGTCTCATGATGGGTCTAGGGTTAGAAAACAAGGCTGTTTAACTCCAGAACCCATGCTCTCAATCTGCACTAATGCGGGGGCAGGATAGTGGCTGAGAAGGTCTTCAGGGAACCAAATTGGGAGAGGGTGAAAGGACTGTCTGGGAAGGGAAACTTAATCCAAAGTCTAACTCTGGAGTAGGGCAGTGAGGGTGTTAGACATGGGCCCAGCTCCTCTGCTCACGGTCCACCCACCCTCCAGGCCCCTGCCTGTGTCCCGGGACGCCAGGCCCGGACCAACGTGGAGTTTGCCGTCACCTGGGTGATCCTGTTGTGGTTGGCCAGGAACATGGAGAGGTTCTGCGACTCCTGGATAGACTGGGGGTCCGCCATCTTCCTCAGGAACTGCGCCGCCCTGAAACACGGGGTCACAGAGAGGAACGCTCAAGTTAACCAGCCTAACCAGGCCTCTCGGGCTCTGCCTCCCACCCGACCCGTGTGACACTGCCCCTGAGGTTAACCGGCTCTGACATCACAGGTGACTAAAGTCAACGGGGAGTATGTTCTGGAGTCATTTGGAGTTGTTTACACCCTCTGAGAAGAGTACCTGAGACTGAGAGGCAAGAATGCACTGAAGCTCAAACTCCAAGTTGAAGGGCAGCTAGCATCCTATCAACCAGCTGGAGGGGTAAGAGTGCAATGAGCATCCCTGGCCCCGCAGTGGCCTCCAGTGGACCTGCACAGCCCGCCACGGAGCAGAACCAGGGGCAGGAATCTTTGTTTTTGTTCTGTATTGTGTTCTTTATTGGAAAATCTCTATGCTTCTAAAGCAAAGCATTACACAGAACCCAGTCTATTTAACCTGCTGGGATTGAGAGTGAAGGGGTGTTAGGTGTGGGGAACACACGCAGGACGTGAAGGGAAAAACTGTGGCGGCCCAGATTTTTCCGGCCACTTTTGAGTCAGGCTTGTGAGGGGCTCTGCCTGCTGGGCACCCCCAGGGTTCTTTCACAGCTCACTCAGGAGGATAGCGTGTGGAGAGTCAGTCTGTTGTCTGCTTTCTTCTGCTTTCTCCAGTTACTAGGAGGAGAGGCCTTTCATCAGACACAGAAAAGCCTTCCCAAGAGATGTGTCTAGACAACACAGAGGAAATCTGCTGCTTTTGACTCACCCTCCCGCCCCCGCCCACTTTTGAGTGGCTGTACTTAATTTCTAGAGAGGAAGGAGCCCTTCCCACTCTCTGTCCTTCTCTTGAGCTGACATTGACCCCCAAGTGACCCCATGGTGAGCACCTGTCCAATCAGAGCCCCCACCCACACAATGGCTGATGAGGAACCTGGCACATGACCAAGCTGGGACTTTTGCAAAATCATTTGCAAAGAAGAGCATCGTTTTCTTCCCTTGAAGCTGGGGTAGCTATGCTGGCCCGAGGAGGGCTTAAAGCTGCTGGAGGCCACCCCAGGGCACAGCCCGCCTGGGAGTGAGCAAGGGCTCTTCAGTTCCGGGAGCCAACCCATCCCTCTTCCACAGAAGCAGTTCGAACTGGCTTTCTGATTCTTACAGGAATGAATATGTGGCCACTTTATGATGATCTCATTGGCCCTGCACTACAAAGGGCAAGAGAGGACGCTGCTGCTCCACAGATGGAGAAATGAGCATCTGATTCCATCTTGAGACAGAGAGCCCTGCACAGACCCAGCTCCCCCAGGACCCAGCCCTGCACCTTTCTCCTCAAACCACACAAACAGGGCCGGCCCAGCCGCTGTGTGCCTGGGGAGCGGCTCGTTTGATTCTGGAGAAGGGGCCGGTTAGACAGGCTCCATCCTCTTCCTCCCCTTGGCAGGCTACCCAGGAAGTGGGGGGCAGGGGAGGCTGACCTCTTGTAGGCAGAGTGGTCGTTCTTGACGCTGCACTTCATGTTCTTCAGCTCGTCCAGGACGGCGAACATGTTGATGAACTTGCCCAGCGTCAGGAGGTAGGCCTCGGAGACAAAGTCCTTCCTCCGCTCGGCATGGCACAGCCGCTTCACCTCGCTGCAGAACCGCTCGATGGCCTTGCGCTGCAGGCAGGGAGGGGGCAGCAGGTAAGGACGGGCAGCATGGGTCGGGGCGGCTCCCGTGCTCTCAGGTGGGGAGCAGGGTCAAGGCTCCCCTGGGGCCCTGGTCAGAGTCTGGACATTTAGAAGCAAATCCGCCAAGAGGTCTTCCCCAGAGGAGTCCCTACATTCAAAGCTGACTTCTCAAAGGAACACACCACCCAGTGAGTTGACCCCACGCATTTATTCGTCAGGCTTTTGCAGAGAAGCACCGTGTTATTCACCCTTGTATTCCAGCGCCTAGGACAGTGCCAGGCACCACTCGACAAGGGGGCAGAGATTCAGAGAAAGAGGTTCATTCAACCAATAAATAGTGTTTATTGAGTATCTACTATGCACTAGACACCATTCTAGGCACCGGGGTAAAGAAAGAATGAAAAAAAAAAAATCTCTACCCTATGGGGCTTACATTTTAGTGAGGGAAGACAGAAAACAAAATAAACGACTTCTGTACATTACAGCGTGATATGTGTTATGGAGAAAAATAAAGTGGGGAAAGGGGGTGGGAGGACGCTTGCCCAGAGCTGGGATGGATGGGGGTATAATGGGGTGACAGCAACAGGGAATGGGATTTCTTTTTGGGGTGACGCAGATGTTACAAATTGAACCTGGTAATGAACACACAACCCTGTGAATGTACTAAAAAATCATTGAACTGTCCACTTTAAATGGATGAATTATATGGTATGTGAATTATTTCTCAATAAATCTGTTACCAAAAAAGCAGCTGAATAACAATCCACAAACAAGGCTAAAGAGTAAGCCAGAGAGAGAGCCAGAGGAAGGAAGGGGAACAAGAGGAGGAGAGGAGGGAGAGAAATGACTCCTTGTGTGTGCTCTCCCCTCCTCAGGCCGCGATACCCACCCGTAATTCCTCGCCTGTGAAGACCAGACTGGCCACGCCTTCTCCTTCCAGAGCCTAAGTCCAAGAGCACTTTCTATGATTGTGGAAACATCCTGTGTCTACAACCCCTAATACGAGAACCACTCACCACATGTGGCTACTGAGCACTTGGTGGTTCAGGCAATGGAGGACCTGGATTTTACATTTTATTTCATTTTAATTAATGTAAATACCCACACGGGGCTACCGTACAGAACAGTGTAGCTCCAGGTAATCCCAGGCCATCCTTTCTCGGTTTCTGTATAGTTTTTCTCTCTTGGACCCGCCTTCCTAAAGAGTCCATGATGCTATTAACAGCAGCTTCGATGTGTTAACCCTCCTGTGTAACTAGGGCTCTACATGGCTCTTTACAATAGACTTCTTTTATCCTTGCCACAAACCTGTGAAATAGGTACTATTTCCAAGGTGAGAAGACTGAAAGCATCAGATATGCTATGTCACTCACAGGCACAGTCACACTGTGGAGGAGCCTTGGTCTCCTGCCTCTGGAGCCAGCGTTCCTGCCCTGGGCTGCAGGTATCCGCACCTTCCCAGACACCCCATCTCGCACACAGCAGGCCATGCAGACCTGAGTGTGGGGTGGATATCCGCCAGAGCCTGGAAGTCTGTTTACCAGCCTGAGCTCTCCATGGAGCACGTGCAGGGCAGAGTGTGTGGCATGACCCCTGTCCTGGGGTACAGACTGGTCTTAAAGTGCTCAACCTGCATTCTTGAGCAGCTTCCAACTTGAGCATAATAATCAACCTGTTGCCTTATTTTTCCTTGGTTATTTCTGTTTAACGAGCTGCCCTCCTTTTTTTTTTTTTTAATTTAACTAGCTTGCCCTCATGAAAGCCCTTGGCTATCTTTTCCCTCTTTTCCTCCTTTAAAGATCACTCTTCCTGGTTTCCCAACTGGTCTTCCTGCTGCCACTCCTGTCCCCTCCCGCCCCTCACATCTGTGCTGCCCTCACCTCCCTTCCATTTCCCACCGAGCAGCCAGATGTTGTAAACACACCAATCAGATCGTGTCACTAGGGAAAACTCACAGGAGAGAGCCCTGATACCCAAGGACTGATGGTGGAGAAGACACAGAGACTGGTAGGAGGGGCGGAGGCGCGAAAGGGCTGGCCAGGCAACCACAGACGGCAACTGAAGTCCCAGAGATATCTTAGGTGTGTGTGTGGGGGGGGGCGGGGGCGGGGGGGGTGCCACTGAGAACCCTGGGATCTAATCCCAAAGCTGGGCTCCCCAGGCAGAGAGCACCAAACTGAGGAGGGTACCCACATAACATCTAGCTGTGAAAAGCCGTGGGGTGCTGTCTGCCAAGGAGTGGCAGCTGAAAGTTTGGGCACCCTCTTAAAGGGCCAATGGACATAAATTCCCTGTGGAGCTACCCACCTTGTGCTCTGGCAGAGGGAGGGTGAAGTGGACTGGAGCTGTGAGAGCAGAACCCAGGACTGGGGACTCGGGGGATAGAGCTCAGAAGGTAGACACCCCAAGTTTCCTGGGCTGAGTCACTACCTCACACAGCGGAGGACATCTTACCAACATAGACATCTGCCTTGCATGAGGGGAAAGACAGTCTACACACCCTATTGGAAAACACCTTGCCCTGAGGCCACTTAAGATATTAAAAGTAAAAATTAGCCTCCAGGCAGAAGCAACTGCCCACCCTGTTGAAAAAACTCTTGCCACACCGGAGGATGATTGCCTGGAAGCAATTTAAGTCGCATCCTATTAGTCTGTAGACAGAGGCGGCCTCTGGAGGCTTTGAGTCTTTCCCTTATCCAATTAGCCAGAAACAGCCTTTAACACTATCCTGCACTAGAGACTGAGAGGTATAGAGGATCTACCTAAAACATAGTCACAAACCCAAACAGACAACCAAAATGATGAAACAAAGAAACAACCCCCGAATGAAACAACTAGCGAATTCTCCAGAAGAAGACATAAGTGAAGCAGAGATAAGAAATTTATCTGAAACAGAGTTCAGATTAATGATGTTAAAAATGCTCAACAGTATGAAAAAAGATATAGTAGCTATGAAAAAAGAACAGTCTGAGATAAAGAATGACATAACACAAATAAAAAACACATTGGAAGGAATACATAGCAAATTAGGGGAAGCTGAGGATCAAATCAGTGAATTAGAAGACAGAGTTGAAAATATCATTCAATTAGAGAGCCAAAAAGAAAAAGAAATTAAAAAACAGGAGGTCAGCTTAAGGGAGCTGTGGATCAATGTGAAACACAACAATATTAGAATAGTAGGTGTGCCAGAAGAGGCAGAAAGGGAGAAAGGAATAGGGAAGGTGTTTGAAGAAATCATGGCAGATTCTGTCACTAGAAGCCTCAGTGGTTTCTGTGGTGATTTAATAAAATCCGCACACTGTTTTCACATCCTACTTCATGGCCTGCAGTTCCCTGTGTGAGCGGGTCCCTGGCTACTGCTCCAGCCTCACCTTTTATCCCTCCCTCTCCCACCCTGCAGCCTCCCTGGCTTCCTTCTGTTTCTTAAACACATGAGGCCCTTTCGAGCCTCAGGGGCTTGGCCTTCACAGTTCCTTCTGCCTGAAACCCTCTTCCTCAGACCATCACACACCAGCCCTTCTCATCACACAGACCTCAGTTCACATGCCACCTCCTGAGAGGCCATCCCTAAAGCTGCAGCCAAGTCACAGATACCTGCAGCCCAGGGATTTTTGAAATGTTATTTATTCACAGCACATATTATGCCCTGAGAATTGTTGTTTGTTGTTTATTGTCAGTCTCTCCTCCTGCCCAGAACATACTCCTGTGCTCACTAGAATGGAAATTTCAGGGAGGGAGGGAGGGAGCTGTCCATCTTGCTCACCCGGGGTGTGTGTCAGGGGCACTCAAAAAGTATTGACCAAACGAATAAGCAACATGGCACAAAAACCCAGACCCATGTGTGCAGAAGGGCAGGGGCCTTCTCTAGTCTCCTGATCCAGATTCACCAATCCCTCACCTGGAAGTACATGAACTTCATGAGCTTGGTGACCTCCGGCTCCAGCACCTCCACTGTCTTCTCGTATATCTCCACACGGTTGGGCTGCTCGTTGCATTTCACCTGTGGGCAGAGGGGTCTCAGACATCCTGATCCGCCCAGGCAGCCCTGGGCCACGCCTGTTGACTTATTAATGGACCCCTTTTTACTCTTGAATGTACCTCGTCCAGGATGATAAATGACAAGGTCATCCTGGTGAGAGGAGGCTGGGGTAGCCCTGATTGGGGGCGACACTGCTCCCCAGACACTGGCTGCAGGAAAGAAACCAGCTGGTCCACCTTCAGTCTGCCTGTACTGTGACCAGTCGCTGTACACACATCCATGTTTATCTGTAAGATCTCCCTCCTTCAGCCCTTCCTCACTCTAACCCTAGAGGGGCCCCGCCAGATTCCCGGCAGAGAAAAATGTCCCATCCACTGCTCCGGATGCACCCGGGGCAGAGCCCCCCGGCCACACTCAGGCCCACCAAGAAACCCATGTGCTCTGCCCAACGGTTTTCAACACATCACAACCACATGGTGGGTGTTTTCACAGCACACACACCTGGGAGTGCTAACAAGGCGGCCGAAACTGATGAGTGAGCGAAGGGTAAGTTCAAGGTCATTCTTCACACTGTTGTTTAGAAATTCTTAAAATAGGAGCAACAAGCTCAATGTCCAGGTGATTGAAAGGATAAAATATGATACACTCAATTCAATATCATTATGTAACAAGGAATGAGACAGATCTATGTCACCTGACATGCACAGACTGCCACCATAAATTGACAGGTAAAAACTGTGATGGGACAGGAAGTGTCACTTAGTTCCATTTTTGTTAAACAAAACAGTGTGTGTGTGTTTGTTCATATATGTTACAGGCATAGTTACCCCGGGGGACTAAGATTAAAGGAAGGGTGAGGAACTGTTTCTCTTTACACATCTGTGCCTCATGGATTTTATTAAAATGGGACTCATGAAATATATGACAATTATAATGATGGTTGACAAATACACATATTATCCGTATGTGTCAACATGAAAAAATGTCATTGATAAAGAATAAAGTGTAGCCCAGCTGGCGTGGCTCAGTGGTTGAGCGTTGACCTATGAACCAGAAGGTTACGGTTCGATTCCGGGTCAAAGCATATGCCCAGGTTGTGGGCCCCAGTAGGGGGTGTGTTGAAGGCAGCTGATCAATGATTCTCTCTCACCTTTGATGTTTCTATCCTCTCTCCCTCTCCCTTCCTCTCTGAAATCAATAAAAATATATGTTTTAAAAAAGAATAAAGTGTAAAAAAATCAAGTGGCAGAACTATATAAGTAAAAAGCAACATATGCTTTGTAAATAATTATTTACAAAATAATAATCATAGAAATATTCAGGATAATCAGCGAGAAAGATCCAGGGGAACAGGCAGCAACACGTGTCCATAGTGATCATGCTCGGTTGGGAGCTGGGTTTGGGTGGTGGGGGTGAGGAGGTGGCGCTGTCTTGCTTTTTACTTTATACCTTTCTGCAATGGTTTGGTGTTGTACAGTTAGCATATACTGTTTTCCAAATAAAGTATATTGAACAATTTTTTCAAAGTTGGCATCAGTTTTATGGGAAACTCTCTGAAGGTTTTCAGCGTGCCCCCTTGGATTAGCTTTGCTCCCTGCCACCTGGAGAAGCTCAGCTTCCTGAATGGGGTAAGGGGGAGGGTGGTGGCGTCCCCTGGCAGCAGAGAGCCCCCAGGGAAGGACAGCCTCACCTGGGGGATGGCCCGGGAACAGCTGCGCCAGGTGTACAGCATGACCGCATACTCGTGTCCTTCCTCCAGCATTTCATTCTGAAAAGCAAAACACGCTCATCAGGGAGAAACCACCCTGGTGCAACAGGCTTCTCATCAGCCCCCCAAACTTCATTGCTCAGTGAGATCTGTGCACCAGCAGCATCCCCATCACCTGGGAGGCTCATTAGGAATGCAGAGCCTCAGGCCGCTGCCTGGCTGACAGAATCAGAATCTGCATCCAGGAACATTCCCAGGGGACTCACCCTCCCAGGTGCAACATAAGTTTGAGAAGCACTGGCCTCAGGTATTCTCATCAGACACCAAGGTGTAAGCAGGCTGCAGTTCTCAAAGACGGATAGCCACCTCATAAAGAAGGCAACAGCTCTATTTGTTCCAACAGAAAAAGTTGTCCCAGATATACTTAGCAAGAAAATAAGCAACTAGCAAAACAGTATGCATAGCACATAGGCTATAAAGAAAAACTAAACGAAGAGTAGCAATTAGGAAAATATATTATGGTATATTGGAGATATTTTGGTGGAATAGGACTAGCAGGCTCTCTGTGGGGCACTCACTTTTCCTATCACATAGGACCATAATGTCTGCACTTTTTTAGAAGAGCTTATGTGACTATTTCACAAGCAGAAAAATTATTAATATCAATTCCTTAAAATAATGCAGAGCAGATAGCGAAACCAACAACAGCACCAAAAATAAATCTGAAAAATACAGTGATGACGTACCACACCTAGTAAGTGCTATCATGGAAAGAGCCCTGAACTCAGGGTCCAAATACCTAGGCTCCAATCTCAGCTTCATCACTCCTTGGCCGTTTGGCCTTCAGGCAATCACTGAACCTAAGGTTCTCCATTTACTGATGATGACAATAACAACCTCAGAGAGTTTTATGAGAACTAAAGGGAATACACACACACACACACACACACACACACACACTATGTAATCTGTAAAGGGAGCCAATAGTATTACGAGGAAAAAGAACAGTCTGGCAGTTTCTCAAAAAGTTAAACACAGGGTAACCTTATAACCCAGCAATTTCACTCCTAGGTAAATGCCCATGGGTCCACACAGAAACTTGCATACTTGTTCACAGTAGTATTATTCTAATAGCCAAAAGTGGAGTCAACCCAAAAAGTCCAACAACTGATGAATGAAGAAATAAAATGCAGTACAGGCAGAGAATGGAATAGTATCTACACTAATAAAAGAGAAACATGCAAATTGGTGTCACTTCGCTATGCCCACCAGCTGATCAGAATGAGTACGCAAATTAACCCAACAAAATGACGGTTGATTTGCATATGCAGGCGTGGAGCGAAGACGGAAAATGACTGAAGACTGAAGAGGCTTGCCTTCTCTGCTGTGGTCGGAGCGGAGAAGCCTCGAGGCTTGGCTTCTCCGCTACGGCCGGAGCGAAGGCCTGGGTCCCGGGTGCCGGAGGAAAACCGGTGCCGGCAGCCAGAGGAAGGAAGGCCTATTGCACGAATCTCTTCGTGCAACAGGCCTCTAGTGCATCTATAAATGGAATACAGTGCAGATACATTATACTAGCACAACATGGATGAATTTTGAGAACATGATGCTACATGAGAGAAGCCAGACACAAAAGGCCACATATTGCAGAATCCATTTAGATGAAATGTTCAGAATCAACAAATCCACAGAAACGAAAAGTAGGTTAGTGTTTGCCAGGGAATGGGAAGAGAGAGGAATTGGGAGTGACTACTAACGGGTTTGGGTTTTTTTGTTGTTGTTTTTTGTGGTGACAGAAATTAGATAGTGGTGATGGTTGTCTAACATGGTGAATATATTAAAAAACACTGAATTGTTCACTTTAAAGGGTGAATTTTATGTTCTATGAACGATATCTCAAAAACACAGTAAAAAAGAGTATTACAAGACCATCTTTTCTGTAAATGTTTGTATTGATATAAAAATGAACCCTTACTGATTTATTTTTTTTACTCCACATGTCATGTCTATTTCATAATACCTTTCTAGTACAAGGTCAGATTTAATTTAGAGCTCATTACTTTTTATGGTTTTGTTTTCAACAGCCAATGCCACCGACAACTCACACTTTCAATCAGCACTTTGAAAATCAGGAACACGTTGCCTTGAGATGACAGAGAACCAAGGTGAAATGTGTGGGTCTCCTGCTGTCATTGCTTCAGAACACACATCAGAAAAGGGACGTGACAGCAACATAAGGAGCATGTATCTACCTGTTAGCAACAAACTTGGCCCTTGGTAGGTGTGAGTATTCCAACTCACTCACCCAAAGAATGTTTGAGCCCTGAGGGGTCCCAGGCTCTGCGCTCCGTGCTGGGACTAGGGCAGTGAACAGGATGAGATGGACTCTGACCTATGGCCAGGGCAGGTGACCATCAACCAGGTTTGTTGTATAACTAAGCCTGCGGTATAGAGGTCAGAATGGCGTGGTGGAAGGCGCCCCTGGTGGGGCCATGGAAAGCTTGATTTCTGGTCCTGGCTCTGTTGGGCCCACCTTTTACCTTGAAAAATGTCATGGTTTTCTCACTGGAGGAAAAGAGTTGGTCTCAATCACTGTCTCACCCCTGGCTGCACATTAGTCACCTGGGGAACTTGGAAGACTCCTGATGCCCAGGCCACGACCTCCCAGAAATAAATCATTATCCCTGGGAAGGAAGCCCAGGCATCAGCATTTTCAAATGCCCCCCAGGTGAACCCAATGGGCAGCCAGGGTGGCAGCTGCTGGACTAAGGATCTCTAAGGTCCTTTACTTTTATAAGATTCTGAAAGTCCATGACTTAAACGCAATGTGAGTTCAGCTCAAGTTTCAGGACTGGTAGTGACAGACTGTACCTCTCAGCACTTACTCAGCCCCTATCTGACCTCCATCAAAGAGCCCTGACCGTTCCATGCAGCTGGTCAATTACATGGTTTACATACTTTCTCTCACTCCTCTTTCTTCTGGCTCTCCCACCATTTGAGAGATTTACCAAGTACAGGCAGGAGAAATACAAGAAGCTAAGCATCTAATGAAGACACTTTGCTGCTGATAAGGTACGCTAGTGAGAGATTTAGCAAGTTACAAGGTAGAAATTGTTGCGTGAAGTGAGGTTTGGGCATTACTCAGGAATGTCAATGGTACACCCTATTCTTGACCCATCTAAGACCGTATCAACACTATCCCTGTGTCGGCAGAATAATAGCCCCATAAAGATGCCCGAATCCTGATGCCCAGAACTGTGAATTCAATCCTCTCCACAGCAAAAGGGCCTTTGCAGATGTAATTAAGTTAGAAACCTTGAAATGGGGAGGGAGGCTGTCCCGGATTATCTGGTGGACCCAAGGTAAGGACAAGGGTCCCAATGAGTGAAAGAGGGAGGCAGGCGAGTCAGAGACGGGATGGAGGGTGGAAGCAGAGATTGGAGTATTTGAACTGCTGGCTGGCAAAGGGGGAGCCGAGGAAGGTGGGCCGCCTGTAGAAGCTGGGAAAAGCCAGGAAACGGAGTCGCCTCCACAGACCTTGACTTTAACCCTGTAAGATCCTGGCTGGACTTCTGACAGAAAGAACTGTAAGCAAATAAACTTGTGTTGGTTTAGGTCACTAAGTCTGTGACAATCTGCTACAGCAGAAATAGAAAACACAATCCCCCTCTAAACCAGCCCCTCCTTCTGACTCGCCGATTGGTGCCCCTGACCTGGTATTTATACAGACAACTGTTAAGCCAGGTGGAGTTAACCTCCAGTGTCTCTCATATCCACTTCCTTAGCCAGCCCTCAACCATCACCCTCACTCAGCCTTTAATGCCTCCAATGCAGATAACCGTATCTCAACCAGTGTATTCGCCTCACAACTTATTCTACACATAACTAACAAATGGAACTTATTCCCCACGCAGAGGTCTGTTCACATTTCTCCCAGGGATAAACAATTTTCTATTGCTTTTCATTTTTATTAAATGAATTACAGCCCCCTATGATGGGTGAATTGTGTCCCTCCAAAATTCATATGTTGACGCCCTAACCCCCAATACCCCAGAATGGGACTATATTTGGTGACAGGGCCTTTAAAGCGGTGATTAAGTTAAAATGAGGCCTTCAGGGTGGGCCCTAATCCAATCTGACTGGTGTTCTTTTAATGAGAGGAAATTTGGACACACAGAGACACCATATGTGTGTGTACTCACAGAAGAAAGGCAATGTAAGGACACAGTGAGCAGGTGGTGGTATGCAAGCCAAGGAGAGATAAAAATATATTTTTAAAAAAGAAAAGAAAGTCTGGATTCCAGGTGCAACCCCATGATTTACTAGTGGGATCATGAGCAACTTGCTATTAACTTCTCTAGGCCTCTGTTTTCTTATCCCTAAAATGGGTATAATGACCTCTTTGCAAGTCACAGAGCTGTTATAAGGTTCCATGATATCATGTATGAACATACCTTATACATTTTAAAGTAATATATATATATATGTACATATATATGTATGTGTATATATATATATAGTTAAAATGCAATTTATGTATTCACATATTTTATACATACATATGTATAATACAAGGCCCTACTCAAAAGCCACTTCCTTCATCAAGCTCTCCCCAACATCCTCAAGGCCCCTTCTAAAACAAAGAACTTTGTACTTTTACCATGTCATTTACCTTTAATTTTGTGCATTTTTATTGATCTGCAAAGAGTAGTCTAGAGCAGACAGATCTTATCAGTGGTAGGACCCCATGTAACTTACTTAACTTTTCTGGATGTCAGTTTTCGCATCCATGAAATGGGTATTGTAATAGAACCTACCTCACAGTGCAGTGAGTTGAGGACTGAGACAATGCATTTAAAATATCTACACAGAAAGTGTTTGATAAATGGTAAGCTTGTCTGTATTTCCACTTGACCCATTGAGAATCCCTCTGTTTGTCCTTGTATCCCCCTCCCCAGCATTTAGCACAGTCTCTGCAGGCCCCAGGTGCACACTACTTATTAAATAAATGGGTGGGGTATGATAAGACCAGGTTTTAGAGTACAGCTGATATAGAGAGAAAGTTCCAGAGAGCTGCAGAACGAGGAATCTGAATTCCTCAAATTTCAGTGATGCTTGAGAATAAAATCCACGAAAGCCCCAGAGGGAAGGAGCGATCCCTCACAGATGGGTCAGACAGCTGGCCCGCGTGTGAATGATTTAGGCCACCAGCTTCCTGGGGTCAACAACATGTGATTCCAAAGCCACCGTCCCTTTATGAGAAACCTTTTGTTTTGCTCAAGAGTATAAAGTATCTCTAAAGTATAGATCTCAACCTTCTGGCCCTTTAAATACAGCTCCTCATGTTGTGACCCAACCATAAAATTATTTTCGTTGCTACTTCATACCTAAAGGTGAGCAGGATTTGCAAAGCTGGAAGACACGGGGCACAGGATGACCCTGGACACTGAGAGGTTGAACATAATTAAAGCATAGTGATTAATCACAAAAACAATATGTAATTATATATGTGTTTTCCGATGGTCTTAGGCGACCCCTGTGAAAGGGTCGTTCGACCCCCAAAGGGGTCGCGACCCACAGGTTGAGAACCGCTGCTATAGGCGCTCAGGGAAGTGAAGAGTAAGGATAATGCTGGGCCCTAAAGGTGAGCAGGATTTGCAAAGCTGGAAGACACAGGGCACAGGATGGCCCTGAACACTGAGAGGGGCTGGGGCAGGCGTGAGAATGGGCTTAAGGAGGTGGGTCTGCCTGAGGCTGGAGGTCCTGGAATAGCTGCCCACAGCCCCTCCCGCCCTGGCAGGGTCCCAGAGACTCACCATGCTGGAGTGGACCGTAGCCTGTTCGATGTACCTTGCAATGCCTGTGACAAATGCATTCCTGTCCTCGAAGTTCGTGTCAAAGTTGGCCTGTGGGAATTGGAGGACAGGAACATTTGGTTATTGAAAAACAGGTCCAAGGTGGCTGGGTGCCCAGGGAACACACTGCTGCCAACAAATGCCACCAGTTCTCTGTGGAAAGCTATGTCCACATCACCCTCTCATCTTCCCTCCCCCAAATCCCACTCAGCCACACTGGACCGGAGCTGCCTACAGACAGGGCCCACATCCGCTTCCCATCAGGGTCACCCCACCTGGCCCTGAGAATAAATGCTTATTGACACTCTACACACCTAACAGCTGCTGAAAAGTTAAGATGCGCACTGCTTTCATCCAGCAGCTGCAAAAACACGCACCTGAGGGTGCAGATACATATGTAAAGGGTAATAACTGCAGCATTTTTTGTGATAGAGAAAACTGGAAATCATTCAAATGTCCATTAACCGCGAAAGGCTAATTAGATCACAGTATATCCATACAATGGACTTACATGTAATAGATGGTAGTTAAAAATAATGTGGCAGCAATGTAGTATTGTTAGGGAAAAATATCCATAATAAATTTTAAGCTAAAAAAGTCAAATGATACATCAATATATATAGTATGATTCCCTTGTTATATTAAAAATATATGCATATATATATAGATGGTAAAAACGTGTGTGCATATATATATATAGATATATAGACATATTTATAAAAAAATTTATTTGTTATACTTTTTTGTATTGCTTATAATAAAAAAGATATTGTCCAGCCAGCGTGGCTTAGTGGTTGAATGTGATCTAGGAACCAGGAGGACACGGCTCGATTCCCGGTCAGGGCACATGCCCAAGTTGTGGGCTTGATCCCCAGTAGGGCTGTGCAGGAGGCAGCCGATCAATGATCTCTCTCATCCTTGATGTTTCTATCTTTCTCTCCCTCTCCCTTCCTCTCTAAAATCAATAAAAATATTTTTAAAAGATATTCATAGAATTAAAATTTCAATCTGGGTTAGAAAATGTGAATAAACAAAGTTTATGAGTTGAAACTTCAGGCATGCACTTCATAAATCTAATCACTGAATGAAATTAAAAATATATTATGCATTATATTTAGTCTCATTTAGCAGCCCAAGAACTTTCAAAAGGTCAAATACAGCAAAGAATTTCAAATTAACTTATTTTTTTCTTAGCCTGGCATACTCGCCCTCACACCCAGACCAGGGGCTATTTGCAAGGCAGAATCCAGCTGCACGATGCCCTTCCCCCATAGGCTGGTGGATCACAGTCTTGAGTCATCTGATCATGGTTTAGCACAAGCTCACCCGTCTTGGGCGAAAGCAAACAACTGTAACGGGCTTCCCTGAGCCATTAGCTGCTGTGAGGAGTTGAAGAGCTCTCCTCACATACATGAAGGAAAAGTAATTACCCAGGCAGGCTCTAGGGGTTTCTAAATTGCAATATTTAATTCATGAGGTCAGAGCTGCCAACGCCTTGGTTGGTGCTGCAGCAAGAACAGCCGGGAAGGTATTTGGGGTCAGAGCAGATCAACAAGCCTTCCCCGGGGAGGAGGAGCAGCCCTGGTGTACATTTACTAGCTAATCTATTCCTTACACTCAGCTCCACCAGGGCACCAGGGACTCCATCAACTCATGACCTTTCACCTACTAGATGCAGAGCTCCCCCTTCCCTCTGCCTTCAGGGCAAACCCTCTGAGGGAACCCCCCGGGTTCCTGAGCCCCCAGAGCCCTCGGAGAATTGACCTGGTACATGATGGAGGAAGGCGGAGGCTCGATGCATGGCTGCTGGTCAGGGAGGGGCAGCTCTTCCAGCAGGTCCACGTTGGACAGGGCATCTTCCAGGGTGACGTGGGTGGTCATGGCTGCAGTTTCCGTATTCCGCACTGAGGGGAAGGGAGGGAATGAAGAATTTCAGGGACCTCCAAACACTTCTCTCAATCTCACCAGTTCAGACTCCCTCCAGAGAACAAAGGGAGGTAACATGCACTAAGACCACACTTTCTATTCCTTCACAAGGTGCCCTTAACCTGCAGCTGATATTTGAGGATCTCTTCATGGTTTACAAGCACTTCTATGTCTACGATCTCGGCTGAGCAGCATCACATTCCTCTGTGATCATCATGGTATCATATCCACAGAGCTGATGCAGAAGCAAGGCTCCAAGAAGTTATGTGACACCCACACAACCACAGTGACCAAGGGCAAAGGACTTCAAGTAACGCCTGATGCTAGGACACAGGCCACGGCCAGCCCCCATCGTTTGTTCTTTTAGAGAAAACGTATCACGTCCACTCTTAAATTATGGCACGGCACAAAAGCCCATGATTGCAATAGCCACGAGTATCCACTTGAAACCAGAGGCTAGGTCTTACAAGCTAATTCAACTGGGACTAAAGAATTCAGACTCCAGCAATATTAACCTTATTTGCAAAAGCGAAGAGCCATCCATTGGCCTGGGTGTGTTTTGTGAGTCCCACCAAACAAATCAGCCCTGAACGAACATTTTTGTGTCTGGGATGCTGGCAGAGTGCAGTGGCTTCCATGAGGATTTGCAGGCAGTCAGCATAGTTACCCAACTCAGCAAAGAGCATCCACATTTCTTTTTCAAGCAAAAGTGAAATGTAGATAAAAACTGATCATGACTTAGACCATCAAGTTTTCCCAAACATGATCTCCTAGCAGTCACATTCACGGATCACAGTGCAATAAAATCAGAACTCAATAATGCAAATAGCAGCCAAAAGCACCCCACACCTATGAAAATGTATAAAAACACATTTCAACATTACTTATAGCTAAAGAGGAATCCAAATAGAAGTTATAGAATATTTAGAACTGAACGAGAGCATAAATGTCTTAAATGCATTTAGTAGAAAATAGGAAAGTGGAACTGAATGAAGTGAATTTTCCTCAACCCAAAGAAATGAAAACGAAAAGCAGACATAAATGAAGCAAAGAACAAATCAAACTAAAACAGACAAGACTATGTGAACAAAAAAATATAAAAACTGTTTTTACAAGAAGATTCATAATAAGCTAACTCTTTAGCACATTTGAATAAGGAAGCAAAGAGAAGGCCCACTTTGCTGTCACAGAAGCCCTCCCACCCATCCCTTCCCACCCCATCACAGGGCGGAGTGAGATGTGCTTAAGGGCAGGAGTTGTAGGAAATGGGGAAAAGGGGACCAAGAACCTGAGAACTGGGTCCAGGGGCTGAAACAGCTGGCGTGTCCCCAGGGGCTTGCTGCCCCTAAACTACTGTTGCCATTAGGCCTGTGGTTGGGCAGGCAGATGGGACTGAGCAGCTAACTACGACTCACACTTAGAGTTCCCAACAACCTTCACCCCCACACACCACCCTCACCCTGTCATGCACTCTGGCAAGAGCCAAGGCCACATTTAATTAGGACACAGAGAGCTCAGAAGTGGGTTTCCCCTCTGCCTTCTACAGGCATCTGGCCTCATCTTGTGGTTTCAGGCCCTTCCCACACCTTTGCTTCTTCTTCTTCTCTCTTCTCTCTCCTGAATTCTAAGTGTGGCATTCAGTTCCACAGCAAAACCATTTGCCAATCCACAAAAAGGATGGCCTTCTTTCTTGCATTAATATTAACTCCTCTTGCATTTTGCAGGAGGAGTTAAGATTTTATGGGATTAATGATTTTATGGAGCAAGCTACAAAGCCCTGATGACACTATTCGTTAATTCAAATAATAATAATGATAACAACACTAATAAAACTAAACATTTTTTAGCCCTTACTCCATGTCAGACACTCTGCCAAATACTTGACTATTTTAACCTTGCATCGACCCTACAAACTATGATTATTCCCATTTTACAGGTGAGCAAACAGAAACTCAGAATTTAAGCAATTGCACAAGGTCAAGTGCTGGCAAGTGGTGGAGCAGTAGTTGGAACCCAGGTTTGTCCTATAAAAAAAGGCCTAGAAGCAGCTACCTACCTATAACTAACGGGGTTGTGTCAAAGGGACCCAGCAGCCAAGCTGAGGCAGCTTCCATTAGCCAAAGTTAGGGCAAGTGAGCACCACCCAGCAGAACTCAGTGGACTTGCAACAACATCAAATATGTCTTAGTCCATGAGATCATAAAGACACTTAATAAAAACTTGGATTTTGTTACTTTATTCCTATTGGAGGATGCCTGTGAACCAATTTTTATGTTGAAAATCACCAAATGAAAGAAAAGAAGCAAACACTTAACCAGTCTTTCCTATACAAACGATACCACTTGAAAACCAAATTGCAGAAGACAGAGATGTTTTTCTCTATAAAGTTCTTTCTCTTTTTATTTCCAGAAACAGTGGCATAATTAAAATATTCCTATTTTCCCAGCCCCTGATACACAAATGGATATAGGCGCTGACCATCAACTGTTATGAAAGAATCTGACATTAAGCACCTTCTGATGGAAAAACACACCATCACTTTATGAAGAATGCTGGAGCCAAAACAAAAACTTGAATTTCATCAAGCCTTTGATACCAACTGACAGGAAACACAGAAGACAGAAGAACACATTAAAATACACCACAGTGATGTAATCAGTAAAATATAATCTATGGGAAACTCTGCTAGACAAATGACTCAGTGCCTTCGACAAATACTGCAAGAAAAAAAAGAGATGGAGGGGGAAGCTATAGATGATAAGACCTTATCTGGATCCTATTACAAACAAAGCATCATAAAAATAAAATTATCACATTTGTAAGAAAATTGGAAAATTTAATACTGACTCAGATATTTGATAATATCAAGGAAATAGTGCTAGTTTTTAGATGTGATAATAATATTGAGATTATGTTTTAAAAGAGTTATCTTCTAGAAATACCTTCTAAAGTATAAATAAAAGGGTACAGGTATTTGCTTCCAAATGATACTACAATGGGAAGAGTGGATACTAGATGGAACAAAATCGGCCATTCGGTAATAATTGTCAATGCTGTGTGATGCTGATGTAGGAATTTATTATAGTTTTATCCAATTTTATAAATGTTGAAATTTCCCATAAGCCCTCCAGCTCAGTGTATGCACTCCCAGTTTGAATCTGTCTGCCCTGACTCCTACTTGCCATGACCTTTCCCCTCTCCTTTCTCCTATAACCTGGGTTTCTTCTGGGCTTTGCAGACATCAAAATACCCGTTGACCAGAATAATCCTTAAGGTTTCCCGCTTCAACACAATAATAACCTTGCACTTTCCTTGAAGAGAATCATAAGTGAACAGCCTACAGAGCCAGTCAGTTAGGAGTCTTTATTTCGTTAATGCAGCCTCTCTTTTCTCCTTGTAAATACAGCTTCTCTAATGGATTTCTCTGTGTGTTTGTAGATCACTCACTGCCTAAGGGAGAAGGAAATCAGATGTTTTTAACTTAAGTGCTGAAAGTCACTGCCAACTCCACATCAATCAGAAAGAAAAAACATACTGGAAATGTTAACAGAGGTATACATGGAAATGAAGTTATTTTTTCTGGCCCACATGCCCTGCCTGCTATGCAACCTTCCAAATGAGAGGCATTCTTTATATTCGACTTACATGGCTGTTTTGTCATTTTGGAAGAGAAATTAATAACATGTTTAAAAATGAACAGTGTACTGGGAGGATCATTTGCCAGGCCCAGCTTGCCACCTCTCACTGTGGGGTATTCACGGCGTATTTAAGTTCAGTGTCTTCACAACAAACTCAAACGCAGTGGCCTGGAGTCACCAGACAAGTAATAACATTGGGCTTGCAGGCAATGTGCTTCTGAGAAGGGCTTCAGGCCCCACCATCACCCATGGCTGAGATGACTGACAGGGCCTGAGCAAGAGGAGGTGGGCCCCACAAATGCAGGGTAGCTGCTAGGAGAACCTGGCTTTGGGAGTGCAGGCCTGACTACCCACACCCCAAACCCTGCCTCTCTGTGGGCAAAAGATGCACTGTCATTTTCTGTTTGACATTCTGGAAGGAAATGAAGAAAAGGTATTTTTACTGAAGTGGAATATTAGGCCAAGTATAGTAGTTAAGCTTGAGCTACGGGCTCAGATCTGTCTCCTGCCACTTACTAGCTATATAACCATAAGCATATTACTTAACCTGAGCCTCAGTTTCCTTATCTGTAGAAGGGCCCTAATTAATAACAGTCGCTGGCCCCAGTGAGTTAGTCTGAGAATTATATAACATGATGGCATGTGGAATGCTTAGTCCAGCAGCAGGGACAGAGTAAGCACTCGGGAAATGTTAGCTGGTCAGGTGGCCTCTTTTTAAGAGAGTGAGTGGATGAATTAAACACTGCAGCAATTCTTCCACAAAAAGGAAGGCATTATTATGATCACACCTCTATATTTTTATCTCAGTCCTACAGATCTTCCCGTTTGACTTCCTCAATCACAACGACCCTGCAGGTTTAAGAAAGTGCAGGTGCTATTTTTGCTGTTGTCACTGAGAAGTGAAAACTCCCATTCAAGGTCACATGGTCAGCCAGTGGCTGAGCTGGGCAGAAAGCAGATATCTTGTCTCTCAGGTCTCTGCCCTTTCTTTTAGACCACACCTACCTTTGTACCTTTCTGGAAGGTACCAAGCACTTACTTTTTCCCCCTCCTCCAGTTTGGCTGCCTTTTCCTTCCGCAAAAAGAACAAGACTCTCACAAGCTAGAAAGATTAGGTAACTTTACCCTTTGGGTTTCATGAACATCAAGAGGCCAGGAAATATTTTCCCTGTCTGTAAAGCTCTCCAGCTAGAAAGCAACTAAAATAAATAAATAAAAACAAATTTTAAAATATATGAACATAGCCTGGCTGGTGTGGTTCATGGTTGAGCATTGACCTATGAACCAGGAGGTCAAGGTTTGATTCCCCGTCAGGGCATTTGCCCAGATTGCAGGCTCGATCCCCAGTTG